TGCAGCAAAAAAAGTGTGGGAGATTGCAGTTAAGCGAGAGGCTTGGGAGGATTTTTTCTCTCTTAATCTTCAGCAATGGGTGTTGTCCAATATCTCTAAGGATCATAATTGGTCCAATTTGCCATCATGGCCTCTTCTGTTTGGTATCATTTCCTGTTTCATTTGGCAAGCTAGGAATAAGAAAATTTTTCAGGGATCTTCTGTTCCTGCTTATGGCACTTTTAGAGCTGCTATGGTCTATGGTGAAGATTTTTCTTGGTCAGAAAACACGCTTCGGGTTGCTGGTCTTGAGACTAACTCGAATAAAGAGAAGTTAGTTTCTTGGGTTTTTCCTTCGGACCCTTGGGTTAAGCTCAATGTGGATGGGTCAAGTATGAATAATGGAGAAGCTTCTGCTTGTGGGGGTGTATTTAGGAATGCTAGTGGAATGTGGCTTGTTGGCTTTTGTAAAAATCTTGGCTGTGGTAATGTTTTGTTAGCAGAACTTTGGGGTTGTCTCCTTGGGCTTGAGATTGCATGGAGGAAAGGTTTCCGTTTTGTCTGGCTTGAAGGTGATTCCTTAGTAGCCCAGTTTTTCATAAGAGAAGGGTGCAGCTCTCATCATCCAGCCTCTAACTTGGTCTTGCGCATAAGGAATATGCTGGAATGGAATTGGAGGGTTAGAATTTCCCATATTCATAGGGAAGGGAATGGGGTTGCCGATTGGATGGCCTCTTTTGCCTACTCCTTTGATTGGTCTTTACAAGAGTTTGACTCGCCTCCTTCTGGTTGTCGTGACAAACTTGAAAGGGACTATGTAGGAGTAGTTTGGTCTAGGAGGTGTTCCTAGTTTCTCTTTTTGTTTTTCTGTTTCCTGTTTGCTTTTCAAAAAAAAAGTTCTTTAAATTAGATAAATAAATAAATAAATAATCAATGAGTCATTTCTAATAAAGAACGATTAAGCCGTCAGTTACATTGATAAAGATTGTCCAAACCCACATTATGAGCCTGCATTGCAACAATGGGTGGTTATGATTCACACAAGTTATGAGTTAAACAACTTAACCATCTTGGGTCATATATGACTCGTTTATCAGGTTGCTCTACTAAGCAAATTAATGATACAACTTGTTATATCATTTTATCATCTGAAGTTTCCGTTACAGTTCCAAAAATAAAAGAAAACAACGTTGAATAAAACAAGAACAAATTGGTTCCACGTTCATCAATTTATGGTATTAAGACTTACAACAAGCTCTACGATTTATGCGGGTTTGAAAGGGTATTGCCCATCAACATACAATAATTTGCTAGTTGACATGGGTGTGTTTGGCAAAAGAGTTTTACATTTTTGCCTGGAAAAGTTTATATGGATTTCCGAGTTGATCATGTTCGGTAGGGATTTCTAAATAATTTGTATAGTATTCTCATTTGTATAAACATCTAATTTTATGTGTAAAATTGGCATAAAAACATTGGGTTTAAATTATCTCCTTTTACATGAGACAATTATCTTATACTAGTGAGACATAAAAAATTGTGTCAATTCTTTTTTTATTTTTAAAAAATGATGGGACCTGCATAATTTATTTCTATGGCATGATGCAAGATCCCAAAAATATTATCTAGAAATACCACCCAGAAGGTGGTATTTTTGGATCACCAGCAAAATGCAAAAAAAAAAGTCTATCCTGAAATTAATTTTTCCGATAATATTTCAACTTACTAAATAATTTTTTTTAACTTTTTCACCCTATTCCTAATAATTGTATTTTTGTGATAAAAATTTTTTCTTCATTTACCAAACGCACCTTGTTCAGATTCCTAGTATTCTAAAATTTTTATAATCCTCATATAAAATATAAATAAATCGAATTTATAATCTCAGATTTTCAGTATTCTAAAATTTTTTCTCCTACCAAACATCCCTCTAGTAATAACTATGAGGTGATTATAATTTATGGGTCTTTATTTTATCATGTTACATGATATCATGCAACACTAAATGACAAAAAAATAAAATAATAAAAAAATATGATAAGACACTTTGTTCATTAATTTTATTTTGTCTTATCTCAACATAACCAAATTATTTTTCCTACAACGTAACTCTTATTTATCCCATAATTTATAGGCATTTATACGCTCTATGGTGGGATTGAGAGAGTGAGTGGCACACACTGCGGGTATGATGAGACATTTTTGAAAAGGATAATGCGATTAAGATGACATTTAAAGCAAACGCTCTCCACCAGAGTTGATTGAGGCACAATGCCGAACGAAATGTATATAACCCGAAAGTGGGTTTTTTTTTTTTTTTTTCGGAAGTATCCTTAAGTCGATAATTGAGGATTAATTCTTTTGAGACAAAAAATTATATCAAGTGAGTAAATCTTTTCTAATAAAAAATCTTTTCTATGCATCGGTAAGTCGGTTCACTTTTTTTCAAGTGAATAAATTTCTTAATCTATTCTCTCTTAAATTACTTATGTACTGTTTAATTATTTTATTTTATTTTATACTTTTAAAATTGTATTTAAATTAGTTATCTACATTTTTTATAATTTCAAATATTTTTATCTTTTAAATTGACTTAATATTTTACCTGAATTTGAAAATATATTAAATACGATAAAATTCTGACACATGCCTGTTTGGACAGATTTATCAGTGAAACGAACTTCTAACCTAATTTAAATAATTTATAGACTCTTTACCAAAAAAAAATAAAAAATAATTTATAGACCTTAGTAAGAGTTGGTTTGTCTTTGTTTTTTTTTTTTTAAATTACTTCTATAATATAATTCTTTTTTAAATTTTTTTCAAAAGATACTATTTTACATTTTTTATTAATTTTGTTTATATTTTTACTTTTTTGTAAAAAACTTATTTGATTATTATAAAAATTAAAAGTAATTTAATTTTTTTAAAAAAAATCTTAAAGAAAACCACAAACAATCGGACCTCAAATGAATAATTAGAATGGGTTAGCCTCCTCGCAAGTCGCAATGCCACTGTATGAATTTTATTTATTTTCAAATCAAGTTTTTTTTTTTCTTAACAAAAGCCGCATCCATAGTTGAAGTAAAAAAAGAGTTGATTCTTTAATTAATTTTCTAAATTGTCAATTTTATTCATATAAAATTTGAATGTAAATTTCATTGAAGGCAATATATTTCAAGCCATTAGGTTGATTCTGGCCTGCGTTTTTTTTAAAGGACCGTATTCGTAAATACAAGTCATTAAAGTGCGGATCAGTTATTATTGCAGTTCTGTGTTTTCCACAATCAAACACCGAGTCATACAATTTGATGCATCTCAGTCACACCGAGTCATTCAAAAAAAGTATGCATCTCATAGCTTTATTAAATCCAAAAAAAAAAAAATGAAAGAAATGCGCTAAACTTTGATACCTTTCTTTTAAGCCAAGTTGTTATTCCATATTTCCTTACTATTTATGGTTATAAAGTAAGAGATTAATATTTAAATAATTTATGAATATCCACATATAAAAGTGTATGAGTCCATATTGTCCATTTGGAGACTAGAGAATGTAACTCTCTCCTCAAATGGGGGAATAGTCTTATCTTTTTTCTGGTGGCGAAGCTCAATGCACCTGTTGTTCTAATGAGAGGTAACCTTCGGGACCATACTTCAAGGACAAGGTAATCGAATAAGGTTTAAATAAAGATACTCCAAATTATACTGAAAAAAGAGAGAATATCTATATATATATACGAAAATTCTCTGTCTGTAGGAATAGTGAACAGTCACTACTAAAAAAGTATGAATTAGGGACGAATTTTAGATACGGAAAATACTCTGTCCCTAATTGGAACGGATTTAGAGACAAAAAAAACAATCCGTCCCTATTTGGGACGGAATTAGCAACGAAATAAATTATGTCTCTAATAGGGACGGATTTTGAGATGGAAAAATATTTCGTTCCTATTTGGTTTTTTTAAACATAAATGGTTGAACCCACATACATATGTGTCTACAGGAAAATAGTCTTGTCATGTTATTTTCCATTTGCAGGAATAGTGAATAGTATTTTCTACAAAGAGATCCATATTTGAGTTTTTTGTTTTTTTTAAACATAAATGGTGAAATTCACATATGAGTCAACTCATCGGGTTAGCTCGTAACCCGACTAAAATGAGTCGGGTTTGGTTAGGAAAAATGAGTTACTAACTCTAGTCGGCCCAACTCGTTTCAGCTCGAAAAAAATCGAGCCAGCCCACGGGTCATAACAACTTGTGAATATAAAAATATAAAAATTAATGAAGGTAAAATGGAAAGCTAAAACCTAAAATACCAATTCCAAAGACCCAAACGAAAATACCCTACAGCTGCCAATAAGTCCAAAACCGTGCATTAAGGACCTTTTTTTGTAATATGTGTGACAGTGTGAATGTGGTGTCAACTGTCAATAAGTCCAAGTCCAAATGCAAAAGGAATTTTCTATGGTTTATCTGTATAATGTCTTTGTATTGAATGAATTAATAATTTAGGGAAAAAATTAGAAGTTATAGCATCAATGAATTTTTTTTTCTATTTTTTCGAGCCAACCCTAACCCGACTCGGGTCGGGTTGGGTTGAGTTTTCTGGCTCGTTTATTTTTCGAGTCAACCCTAACCCGACTCATTTTTTTCGGGTTTTACACGGATTGGGTCGGATTGAGCCGGTTGGCTCGTTTTGCCAACCCTACATCTGTGTCCGCAGAAAAATGATCTTGTCGACATCAGCATAAGAAAATTAATTTCCATAAATATATATATATATATATATATATATATATATATATATATATATATATATCCCATATATTTTTATGTATATATAGAAGATAATTTTAACTTCATAAAAAACAATGTACACAGAAGTTATTTATATCAATAATATTTACAGATCATAAAATGAATTAGAGATAATGTAATAACAAATCAATCAAATCAACAGCCAACCCTAACAAAACCTATAAACACATCAGCCCCAACCAGAATCAATGTACAAGAATATCACTGCATCATAATTTTAAACTCTTCAAAGCAAAGCATGCCATCCCCGTTCAAATCAAACCGATTGATCATAACTTTGCATTCCTCAATGGACTTTGATTCCCCCAACTTCTTCAACATCCTCTTCAAGCTCTTGGGAGTTATGAACCCACACCGTTCAGTATCATACAACTCAAAAGCTTCCCTCAAGTCCTTCAACTTCTCTTCCTCTCCACCTGCTTCCATCAGCTTCATCAAATCCTCCAAACTCAACAACCCATCACCATCCGAATCCAATTCCTCAATAGCCATCTCTGCTTCTTTCAACAGAAGCTCCCCACCCATCATGCCTAGTCGGTTCCTTAGCTCACACGGCGAAATCTTGCCATCACCATCTTCATCAAAATAACTAAGAACACGCTCGAATTCCGCGTCCTTCCTCATGTCACAAGACAAGACAAAACCAAAAACCACAAAAGGGAAGTAGCTACAAACACTTGTTAATATGAACTATGCAAAGTGGAATATATTAATTATGATTACAATATAATGTTGTGAAAGGTTGGATGCGCAAAGGGAACTTATATAGTGTTCTGTTTGTGAAAATTATTATGGGGCGCAAGTTGCTGCGAGGGTTCGAGGATGTGCAAAAACGCCATCAACGTCGTCACGGGGTTCAATTGGACAAAGAAAAATTGGATAACGCGGACCCAGGCCACGACTTCAAAAGTTCAAACGCCCTAGAACAACTAATATTAACGGTCAAATCACTCGTGATTTATTATTTTATTATTTTACTATTTATAGAATTGGCGATGATTAATCACGATTGATTTAGCCACCAAATGAACATCCAAGACGTGTCGGCGCCACGCCACTCACACGGTAGCTACCCTGTCTTCTTATTAATGCTTATCCGTTCGAAAAAAGTATCAATTAAAATAAAAATATTCAAAATCATAATTAAATAAAGGGTTTATTGGATCTTATGTTGTAGGAGGTAAATTTATTACTTATATATATAAAAATATGTAGACCCTATGTGAGGTTATGTAAAAAAAAAAAATTATGAATCTTATACACCTTTATGTGTGTATAAGAAATAAAATTTATCTCTCATGAAACATCATTCCCTTAAATAAAAGCTAACTTTAAACTTTAAAAAATATTTAATTTAATGTGTACGAAAAGATTAATTGACTGTAGTTCTTTAAGGATGATAAGATAAGAAAATTATGTTAATTCCTATTAAGTAATAATATTGACGTGGTAGTAAAGTAGGGGGGGAAAGTTTACCAAAAAATAAAATAAAATAGGGGAATGGCTCTTGTCATCGTGAGAAGTGAGAACGACTCCTCTCCATACAAGTTGGCATTACAGTAACTGCGGCATAGTACGTCAAGCATTTAGTCGTGACTCGTGAGCACTGAGGACTGCAAATATCAAATAATTAGAGTGTAAACATTTTTTTTTTTTTGTAAACAAAATTAGAGTGTAATTTTGTTTGTCTTTATATATATATATATATATATATTCATTGATTTTTTATTTACTTTTTGCAATATGATTTTTTCCTCCTAATTTTATAGAAAATAGAGATATAAAAGAATAACAAAAATGTACCAACACACAGCTATTTAATTTAGAATAATATAAACTTGTGTTCTATAAAATGATAAATGATTTTCGCTTAATTTATATTAATCATTAAGACCAAAAAATTTATGTTATTATTTAATAATGTATTATTGTACTATTTAATAAGTAATACAAAAATATTATATTACATATTTTTTTTTTTTTGATTTAATAAAAAAATTACAAATTTTGTTATGTACTCTTTCTTTACTTTTTATTTTTCATGTAAAAAAATATGAAATTTGTACAATATTTTTGTTATATAAATAACATGAAAATTGCTAATAAGTATTTTTAGAGTATTAATTCAGAGATTGAAAATAAAAATTATATCATTTAATATACTAAAATTTTAATTTATTTTATTTTATCTTTAATTTCTTATGACGTAATCTTATGATACTTCCTAGTAAAATTCATAACTTTACCTAATTATAAATTGTCTTGTTCCTGTGTGCTGGTTCCAGGATTTATTTTACCTGACTTTGACCGGCAGTTCCATGATGGTACGCGCATAACGTCTGCGGGCGGGGCACACATTTTATACTCGTTTTTTTATTATTATTTATTTATAATAGTTACGGATAATATCCACAAATGGTAGCCTATGTAGCACCGATACTGACACGGGACACGTGACACGATACGACACGACACTCCGACACGTTAATTCTAAAAAATATTAGATTTCGACACGTTAGGACACGTTTTGATATTAAATAATATTTTTAATTTATGTAGTGTATATTATATTAAATATTCAATAATTTAATAAAAAACAAAACTAAATTTATAATATTCATCAATTTTGCAAAAAAACATAAGATTTCCCAAATATTTATATTAAATTCAATATAATGGTAATCGTAATCCAACGAATCTAATAGTTGGAATTAAAAACTCAACGCAACGTAACCTTTGAACCTTTTTTTGAATTTCTATAACGCGTGTTGGAGTGTCGGGAAGTGTCGGAGTGTCGGAGAGTGTCGGGAAGTGTCGGACACGACACGTCAAGGTTTTAGAAGTGTCGGTGCTTCATAGATGGTAGCACTATAATTCTTCTTCTAATCTTCCGATGATTGATTCAAGTGAAAATATAAATCCCACAACAGACTGATTGTTGAAAAAAAAAAAAAAAAAATTCAAATTCTGAAAAAAAAAAAAAAATTTATTAGTCACTCAACTCATATACCCCTTTCGCTGCCCGAATCGTGGAATACCAAATAAACTTGATTTGTCTCCAAAAAAATAATTAACTTCCCGGAATTAAAAAAAGAAAAAAGAAACTTCTTCTCACTCATACTTATTTCTGAAGCTTTGTTTGATATCCACATATCTTTCTCGTTGTTTAAAACAAAAAATGAAGTTTAACAAATGATAAAAATTAGTTTGTGCTTTTCTTTTATGGGAAAATTGTTTCTCATTTTAAATGACATTACACTCTGTCTTTTTAAGAGATAGACAGACACAGAAAAAAAAATTATTTAAATTTTAAATTAAATAAAATCATCAATTTTCTCTCTTCCATGATTTCTATTTTTCTGTGTTTATCTTTCTCCTAAAATGATATAACTTATGTCATTTAAAATGATAAATAATTTTTTACATTTCAAACCTAGAAGACTCCTAAGTTTGGGGGAGAGTAAGCCCTTACTATAAATTGCATAAAAACTGAACTTCCTTCTTCCAGAAATAGATTTGATAAAAATAAAAAGGCTGAGAGTAAGACTAACGCGTTCAATCCTATAAGCCTATAACCTAAGCTTTCCAGTAAAGATTAGCCTAGAATTTCCTTCTTGTAGTTTCTTTAAATTTAAGTTTCAAAAGTTACGAACAGAACTGACAATAAGTCATGTATATATCCCAAAAAAAGAAAAAAACTGACAATAAGTCCTAGGTATTATTTTTGAGAGAGGGAAGAACTTTAATTGTAATCTCTTAACTGATTTAAAGAGTTAAAGTTTGTGAAAATATTTAGAGTGTTGAGATATATAAAATTATTAATGTAATATCACTCAACAACTTAAATTTTTGGGTTAAATTGATTCTTTACATAGTATCAGAGCCTTGATGTACCGAGTTCGATCGTCCCCACTTTCTTTCAAATGGAATTTTAAAAAAGGGAAAATATTTATCCTTTTAAAGGATATAACTTTGCGTCATTTTAAATCCTAACAGTTAATTTTCATCAATCAACGGTAAGGATTTATTGAATTTTATTGTGAATTACTAACTAATTAATAAATTTAACTTAATAAATCCTAACCATTAATTGACGAAAATAAACGGTTAGAATCTAAAATGATACAAAGTTATATCTTTTAAAAAAATAAATATTTTTCCCAAAAAAAAAATACACAATGCAAAGTTATAACTATAATCAGAACAGTTTTAAACCGATTTTACCAAACGAGTTTCTCATCCATTTTTATCCCTGAGAATAGAAATTAAAAAAAAAAAAAAAACTCATTCCGGGAAGGTTGTTATGCACACTCTAAGCAAACCAAGTATATTAAATGAATTCCCCCGAAATAAAAAATTATTATTATAGTGATAAGTTATTTTATCTATTATTTTCTTTTTTGTCTGCCTTCACTTATCATTCTCCAATACCCTTAGATCATAATCTCAAAATGAGAGAGAAATGAAATAATAAAGGTAGTTGAGATTCTGATCTAATAATATTGGAAGGTAGTAGGTAGAATAACCAATTCTATTATTATAATAAGGAGAAAGACCTGTTTACAAACTTTTTTTACAAATTTTTGCAAGTTACATTATATATTCCCGAAAATACATAATCTAACCTAATGTACTCCTAGAAGCACGTCGTAGTTTGTAAACAAAAAATTTGTAAATATAACTATCCCCTTATAATAATAATATTTTGAGCTTAGGTCCGTCACAAACGGAGCATACTCCGGATCTTACATAATAAAAGGTTCTTCTACTGGTTTCCAAAAAAAAAAAAAAAAAAAAAAAAGGTTTCTTCTACGTGGATCAGAAACCAAGGACTTGAAACGGGATCTTAGTTACTAAGATCAGTTTTCTAACATTCATGAAAAACCAATCACAATCATATTATCCGTCTCATTCAGAAATCACAAGAGAAGATAGTAAGTCGTAGAGAGGTATCTGTTCTTATTTCTTGCTTCAATAAACGTTTTACATCTTTTACATTTTTATTAATTATTAGTCATGATTAGATTTATTCAACTTTCAACAACAAAGATTCAGAAACCTTATTACATTTGCAACATTTATGTTTTTACGTAGGATGAGTAATTTAATGACATTTTGACAAAATTAAAGAGGTATCATTTAGTTATCATTATTATCGAAGTTTCTTCTCCAGATGATAAATCAATGAAATTTTCTTTTGCAATTTTATTGATTCATTATCCTTATATGCTGATGATCCATAAAATTTGGTAAATTTTAGGCCACGAATGACCATGGAAGATGAAGCTAGCAGGGATGATAAACAGAAGAGAGCAAAAGCTAATGATGAGAAAGACTATAAAGAAGAAGATATCATCAACCAATTGCCAGATGGAATCCCTGTAGCCATTTTATCTAAATTGTCAATAAATGAAGCTGCTAGGACCAGCATCCTCTCAAAAAAATGGAGATATCTGTGGACCTCTTTTTCTGGGACCTTAGAATTTGATGGTTCACCTATTATGAAAGACATGAAAAAAGATATTGAGAAGGTTGCAGGGAGGCATTTGCAAATGGCAATGGAGATCATGTATGATGCAGAAAGGCAAACATATACAAGTTGGATCAATGAATTGTTGAGTTCACTTAAAAGTTCAACTCTACAAGGATTGAAATTTTGGTTTCATGTGGGCACTGGGTGTGATATTGATAAGTGGGTTCACTTTGCCATTCAAAAGAAGGTTCAAAAGCTTGAGCTGTATTTTGGGCATACATTTGAATATGTTCTTCCATTGCACCTGTTTAAACAAGCAAGTTTTAATTCCTTGCTTGTCTTGCGTCTGAAATTCATTACTGTGAAGAAAGAGATGCTAGAGTATTTACTTTGTTGCTGTCCATTACTTGAAACGTTGAGCTTGGTTAACTCGGGAGTTCCAAAGACTATGAAGGTTTCAGGTCCATCTCTTAAGCTGAAATGTCTTGAGTTGGTAAGATGTTGGGAGCTGATAAACCTTGAGATTTTTGCTGAGAATTTAATGTCATTCAAATACTACGGATCCCATTTGAACGCAGAATTCAAGAGCGTTCCAAGCCTTGTGGAAGCAACATTTGGAGGATCCTTTGTGGAATTCAGTAGACAAAGTTTTCTCCCGCAAATAAAAGTGCTTAAATTGGATATTACACAAAACGTACCTGAAGTGGTAGCTTTTTATTCCCATCCTTTCTTTAGGCTGCTTTCCTTATTAACAGGAGTGATATCTTTTTTACTGTCTTGTTTTCAGATTTACTGGTTATGTCAACTTCCCAAGTTACAAAATCTGAAGTACTTGGAATTGGTTGCCTGCGTTGATGACAGCTTAACACTTGGTGCTTGTGTTCTGCTATTAAAGGCATCACCTTCACTATGGAGGTTCACAGTCAAGGTAAATATCCTTGTATCTCTGTCTTTGTTTCTGTCAAAAATACTCATGAATATGGTCTTCGTTATTTTCGGTGAATTAAGAATACGGACTATGATTAAGTTAGATCATGCTGCTTTTAGATGCTAATTAAAAGGGCAAAGTACAAGCATTAATTAGCTTTATGTTATTAGAAGCCCATACTAAACTCACCCTAAAGCATCAATCAGTTTTTTATTACTGGGCAAAATTTGCCCGAAAAGAGTATTTACACATATTTACACATACATCACCTCACATCTAGATAAATCATACCATTTGATTATAACATGTCACACCAAAAATTTCTGCACATCTCTACTCTAATTCTGCCTCCTCTCTCCCGTGTAAGGTGATGAGACTCTTGCATCAAGCATTATTTTTGCTCAAAAGCTAGGAAAATGTGAGTCTGAATCTGCCATTTTAACGTGTTGCAGATGCTAAATACCAACCCTATTTTTAGAACAGAAGGCAAATTTACAATGGAATGTCAGTACAGTCTTAAGGAGTTGGAATTGGTTGGTTTTTGTGGAGCAGCATGTGAAGTTGAATTAGTTATGTACGTGCTTGAGAATGCAGTTGAACTCCAGAAGATAACTATTGATACAAGGTTACCAACTAAGCCGAAATTGAGACCATTGGGGGAGCACTTCAAAACTTGGGATCATGAGGAGAACAGAAAGCGTGCTTGGGAACTGCAGAAGAAAATACCTCCTTCGATTGACTTCATTTGTCTTTGACATTATTGGAAGCACAAGCATCACAAATCTTGGTTTTGGAAACAAAAACAATTTTATATTAGCATAGAATTTCAGCTCTTTTACACAAATAATTCTCAAAACTTGTAGCGCATCAATTACGTCTATAAAATAAGGCAATATAGATATTCAAAAAAAAAAAAAAAAAAGGCAATATAGTCTATCCATAAAATGAAACAGCGTTGAAATATCCTTAGTCATTGAAATATTAAGTCCCTAGTCAAGTAGTCATTGGATCTTAAACTAAAAAACACTAACGATTATAAACAATGCTTCTTTAGTTAATCATCATTTTAAAACCTGAATTTGAATTCAGTATGAATGTTTAGATATTCATTTTATTAAGGTTCAGGTGATCCGCTAATAACTCTAGCTACAATCCACCGTTTTTTCAACATGCGAATGGACAACGAAATTTGTCTAGTGCAACAAAGCAGGTCTTTTTTTCAATTAAGTACATGTTGAAATGAAATGAAAACTTAGATGCCCTGCTCAAGCATTGCTCGGACCCTCGTTGGAAGACCATAAAGCCGGATAAACCCTGCAGCATCAGCTTGATCATATATCTGCCCGCTCTCAAATGATGAAATGTCTTCTCTATACAGGCTAAAGGGGCTCTTCCGACCTGTTACAGTAACAGAACCTTTGTACAATTTCAAAGTCACAGAACCTGTTGTGGTCTCTGTGATCTTCTGCATAAAAGCATCCATGGACTCCCGAAGTGGATCAAACCATCTGCCAGCATACACTAACTCTGCATATTTAAGGGCTAATGAATCTTTGACTTGTATTGTATCACGATCAAGTGTCAGAGACTCCAAATCACGTGCTGCAGCAAACAGGATGGTTCCACCGGGAGTTTCATAAACTCCACGGCTCTTCATACCTACAAGCCGATTCTCAACTATGTCAATCCGTCCGATTCCATGCCTTCCGCCAATCTCATTGAGCTCAGCAAGTAAAGATGCTGGCGATAGCCTCTTCCCATTCACTGAAACAGGAAGCCCCGACTCTATACCAATTTCCACATATCTGCAAGACATAATGCGAGCTTTCAAAAATGTAAGGAACAAAATCTTTAAAAGCATAACAGAAACTCCGAGGCTATATATAGAGTGTAATCACAAGTTAAGAAGGAAGCTTACTCTGCTTTATCTGGAGCATCCTTAGGGTCTACAGACATCATGTACATATCCTTTTTAGGCTCATTAGCTGGGTCTTCCAAAATATCACCCTTCAGTGTCACAGATTGCATATATAAGAGAAATTAGCAACATGTCATTTCCAAAATATAGTTATTGGAGCTACACTACATAAAGCATAACACTAGATCAAACTAAAGATTAGCAGCAACTTCTGATAATACAGCATAGAAATGTTGTTGTGCATTCAATTTGATAATTCAAATGCTCTAGAGACTAGTAACAAATTATTGGATTCCTAGAAATATTTTTAAAAATCTGTTTCATGCTTTTATAAAGAAATTAGAGTAAACCCTTATTTTTGTCCTTCAAAGATACAAGTGCAATCGCTCTAGTTCTCACAACATTTTTGACATTAATTTAGTCCATAAAAAATTTAAACTATCATAATTTTGGCCCTTCTGTTGCTCTCCATTAACATTGTGAGTAGGTAACAGGCCATGTAAGCATCTGTTAGACAGCCTTCCAATGGAGGATAACGGAAGGAACTAAAAGATGAAACTCTAAATTATTGAGGGACTAATGTGGTTATTGTAAAGAACCTTGGGATACACCACCCCAAAAGCTAGCTCAAAGAGTGAGAGTGCCCAAGGCCTTATAAACTCCACATTAGTTGCACATACAACCAATGTGGGACTGTATATCTCAACACGCCCCCTCACATGAGAGCCCAATGGGCTTGAAGAGTGGACAATGCACAGGCCCACCTACCTGTGCGAAGAAAGAAATTCCACTTGAAAGAAAGTGGGGAGCAGTGAGGATCGAACCCGGGACACGAGGCTCTGATACCATGTAAAGAACCTTGGGATAACGCGCCTGATACCATGTAAACCCGGGACACGAGGCTCTGATACCATGTAAAGAACCAATTCAACCCAAAATCTTAAGCTTTTGGGTGAGGCTACATTAATGGTTTTATATATCTCAACACGCCTCCTCACACGAGAGCCCAATGGGCTTGAAGGGTGGACAATGCATAGGCCCACCTACCTGTGCGAACAAAGAAATTCCACAAGAGAAAGTGGAGGGCGGCGAGGATCGAACCCGGGACACGAGGCTCTGATACCATGTAAAGAACCTTGGGATACACCACCCCAAAAGCTAGCTCAAAGGGTGGGAGTGCCCAAGGCCTTATAAACTCCACATTAGTTGCACATACAACCAATGTGGGACTATATATCTCAACACGCCCCCTCACACAAGAGCCCATTGGGCTTGAAGAGTGGACAATGCAACAGGCCCAGCCTACCTGTGCTAAGAAACGCCACAAGAGAAAGTGGGGGGCGGCGAGTATCTAACCCGGGACACGAGGCTCTGATACCATGTAAAGAACCTTGGGATATGTAAAGAACCTTGGGATACACCACCCCAAAAGCTAGCTCAAAGAGTGAGAGTGCCCAAGGCCTTATAAACTCCAGATTAGTTGCACATACAACCAATGTGGGACTGTATATCTAACCACGCCCCCTCACACGAGAGCCCAATGGGCTTGAAGAGTGGACAATGCACAGGCCTACCTACCTGTGCGAAGAAAGAAATTCCACTTGAAAGAAAGTGGGGAGCAGTGAGGATCGAACCCGGGACACGAGGCTCTGATACCATGTAAAGAACCTTGGGATAACGCGCCTGATACCATGTAAACCCGGGACACGAGGCTCTGATACCATGTAAAGAACCAATTCAACCCAAAATCTTAAGCTTTTGGGTGAGGCTACATTAATGGTTTTATATATCTCAACACGCCTCCTCACACGAGAGCCCAATGGGCTTGAATGGTGGACAATGCATAGGCCCACCTACCTGTGCGAACAAAGAAATTCCACAAGAGAAAGTGGAGGGCGGCGAGGATCGAACCCGGGACACGAGGCTCTGATACCATGTAAAGAACCTTGGGATACACCACCCCAAAAGCTAGCTGAAAGGGTGGGAGTGCCCAAGGCCTTATAAACTCCACATTAGTTGCACATACAACCAATGTGGGACTATATATCTCAACACGCCCCCTCACACAAGAGCCCATTGGGCTTGAAGAGTGGACAATGCAACAGGCCCAGCCTACCTGTGCTAAGAAACACCACAAGAGAAAGTGGGGGGCGGCGAGGATCTAACCCGGGACACGAGGCTCTGATACCATGTAAAGAACCTTGGGATATGTAAAGAACCTTGGGATACACCACCCCAAAAGCTAGTTCAAAGGGTGGGAGTGCCCAAGGCCTTATAAACTCCACATTAGTTGCACATACAACCAATGTGGGACTATATATCTCAACAGTTATGCTAGTACTTTTGGACGACGAAAATGAGGGTTTACCTAAAATAAAATGTACATAGAAAAGGCATACATAAATAGAATAGTCAATGACAATAATATCTAGTCCTGGAATGAATATGCCTGTGGGAACCTTAAATATAATAAGTTGAGTTTAATAGTGAGCCATACACTGTTAGATATACGAACACGCTCTTGATTTCAGGTGCCAACATGACATACCTCATTTACCAGCATATAGTAAACTGCTAGATTTCAAAGTTGGATCTTCTCATGTTACATGACTGTCAGGGTAGGAGATAGTGCCTTGTTCTCTATTTTCCCTCTCATGGTCATGTAACATAAGAGGATCCAAATCCATTACTTTTAAAAGATCATCAAACTTTTGACCTTAAATTCGACGAAAGCTTAGACCCCAAAAATGATAAATCATTAGACATCAACAATATAACTAGAGCTGGATTGAAGATAACCGCAATACGTACCTCATGGCTAAGGTGCCAAAGGTTCCTATCCCTGCTATATATGGATTTCTTTGTCACAGGAACACGTACACTCTTCCTTTTAGCATACTCAATAGCATCTTCTCGCCCTGTAATATCCCACTCCCTCCATGGAGCCACAACTTTTAGTTTGGGGTTCAGAGCAAAGAAAGTGAGCTCAAATCGAACCTAAATGTTTATATATAAATGTGTCAGAAGAAAGTAATTGACATGATGTAGTGTTGAAAGCCTACTAGTAATACATGCCTGATCATTTCCTTTCCCTGTACACCCATGGGAGACAGCATCAGCTCCAACTTCTTTGGCAACATCAACCATGGCCTATCAATCGGTAGGTATCAATCAATATATGTTTATAAAAGGGGGAAAAAAAGATAAGCATGTTCCGCTATCATTGTCATTATGATTCTTTTTCGATATAAAAAGAGTGAATATGGCACGAAGAGTTAACAGAAGAGATGGCTTTACCAAGAGTTATGAAATAACAAACTTCAAGCATAAGTACCTTCGCAATTACAGGACGGGCCATTGAGGTCCCAAGCAAATACTTCCTCTCATAAACTGCACCAGCACGCAGGCAAGGGAATATGTATTCGCTAACAAATTCCTCCTTCAAGTCCTTTACCACTAATTGAGAGGCCCCACTGGCTTTAGCTTTCGCTTCTAAACCTTCCAATTCTTTTCTTCCCTGTGAAATTTAACTAAGTTACTAGACTTGCAGCATATAAACAATGAATTGGGTAAAGCAAATCCCAGTCAGAAAGTTTACAAGTTTAAAACACCTTTTCCAATAACACAGGCTACACAACGACAATCTTGACTACAGAAAATGAATTCTAAAAGTCATAACATACTTGGCCAACATCAGCAGTGAAGCAAACGACATCACAATTGTAATTCTCTCTGCAAAGCCAGAACCATTAAATAAGAGATTATAATAAAAGCACAGTTATATAACAGCAGGTAAATTGACAGAGATATCTACTGTCCAATCTCCTAGAACACATCCTAAATTTGTTAGAAAGTAATCATCGTCATTTTTTGCTGGCATGCTTTACTTCAAAACTCCAAATTCTTGTGTTTAAAACTGATCATGTCATCCATACAATCTCAAAATGGTTTCTGATTTCTATTTACGCATTCTATAAAAAAATTAAACATTCTTTACTGAAGAGAAACCAGTAATTACCAAAAACAAACTTATCTCTAACACCCTAAGTATTTGTCATTCTGAGTATATAAAGGAGAGGAAAAATCAAATATTGCGAGCTTGTGATGGACATATACTACAAAACTGAAAAAGAGCAAGGCAACATCTATACCTCAGCCATGGGACAATGACTGATGTGTCTAAGCCACCACTATAAGCCAGCACAACCTTATTCAATTTTCCACGTAGCCCACTACCCTTCCTGGTTTCAGAAACTTCTACCCCAGTATCACTGCGTTGCACTGATTTTACAACTGCATCTCAAGAGAACTTTAATAGCATTAGAGAGTACAGGCATTAAACTTAGATATCAAATAGCATTTAATCAATATAACAAGTGGTGAACACACTGTGCCTCCAATGAACTCATGCTTTCAACAGAAACCACCCATACCCTAAGAAGCCACAAATCACCTCTTCAGAAACTTATTTGTCTATTGTTATGACATAATTTTATTAAGGAATGCTGATTTTCAAAATACAAGTGAAAATAAATGACTCAATTCCAACAGATGAATAATACAGTACGAAATACAACGCGTTAATAACCAAAAAGGACTTAATTAAAAGCTCAGATATTAAGAACAATAAGATATACTACGTGTTAATATAATGCTGTCTTAATTTAAAGATCCACAAGTATTCAGAATGTGTTTACCCCATGTAGAACTGGAAACAAAAAATTGCTTAGGTAACAGCAATGTATCAGTTTACCTCAAAGATAGATGGAGACCTTATACTTAACCCCAGATGAAAAATTAACTAAAATAAGTTCTTTTATATTGAGTTCATTCATCAAGTTAATAAAGGTAATGCCATCCACCTACAGTTTCACATAGGTGGAAAAAGGGAGATCCAGAGACAAAATAATCTCACCTTGAAGTTTACTGGCACCAACCCTTGTTCTTGGCCCCAACTACATAAAGTACAAAAGTCCAAAATAAGACCAACAAAGCACCCATCAAAACGCCTCAGGTATCAAAAATAAAAAAAGCCTCAGAAGTATGGACATATGTTTGTAAACTTTAAGGAGTAAAGTTTTAGCATTTAAAGATCACCTCTTTGAACAATGATGGTTTTGCCTTCCGGAATTGATGATGCAGAAGCTGCTCTGCAAAACAGAAATTGATTTCCCTTTATTTGGGTGTTGTTTAAAATCCTTTAAAATGTTAATGGAAGTGAATGAAGGGAAAGTTACTCTAACCAAGCATGAATAAATTGTTAACATTCAAAAGTGGGGGTTTTTCAACTTTAATCATATACAACAATTTCACAAGAGATCGAAATGGAACTAAATTATAAAGGGCACCTCTTGTATGCAGAGAAGGAGCAGTAGCAGGAGATGAACATGCAGGAAATGCTTTCAACTGGGCCATTCGTGCACAAGTCTAAATGCTTTAACCACCTCAGTAGCAGTATCAATGTTTGAGCGGCGTCTGATATAAGGAGGGTTTCATTTCACAGCTCCATCGCATGGTCTTTTTTATAATTTTGTTTTTTAGTACTTTATCTTTTATTTAGTTTTTTTACATTTATTTTCTATCGTTTATTTTGAGTTTGATATTTGTCATTTTAAATGATATAAGTTGTGTTATTTTAAGAGATAGATAGACACAGGAAATAAAAATTATGTGAGAGAGAAAGTGTGTGATTTTTTTAATTTAAATTTTAAATAAAAAAAAGTATGAATCTATTTCTCTTTTAAAATGACGTAAGATTATGTCATTTGAAATGACAAATATTTTTTCCTTTATTTTTTGGTTAAAACTTAAAACATTTTTGTTTTTTACATAACATCTATTTTAATTTTACATATGTTCGATCGTTTTGAATTTCATTTTATTAGTGTGTTAAAGAACTCAAACTCCCAACATTTCAATAGCATAGTATTTTCCAATTCATGTGAATGGAACAAGTAGTACTTTTTCAGTACATAAATAGTTAATATCAATAAAAGTCGAGTTATGCTTTTCACATTTTGATGAAGTCGGTGTAGTTATGTCTTATTGAAAAAAAGAAATTCTTTCATTATTAATGCAAATGAATTTTCTTTTTTAATTCTTGTAAAATTTTGGAGTTGTATTCTATTTCTAGTTGATGGGAGATTAAATTAAAAATAAACATCAAATAAAAGACTAAAATTTCATATATTATACTTCTGTACCAGTGTAATATTCATTTTCAATATAATTATTTTATATCAATCTCACTGCATTATAAGGATGATAAATGGTGGGACAAGATTAAAAATAATTATATATATAAAGATTAAATTAAAATTTTCTTAAAAATTAAACTAAAAATAACTGGAAAAAATATTTAAACGTTTATTTGTTTTAATCTTTTGGCTTTTATTGTTTGTGTTTTATTCCATTTTGTCTTTCTCTTATGGGCTAAAATGGGATCTGTTGAGACTTGAAGACAGCTCCAATTATAAAAATTCAATTAAATTTTGGAAAAATACCAGAGCTGACACACAAACCACACGCGCCTCGTCCAATGCACATTACACATTGTTATTCTCTAATACCAACTCAACTACAAAGCTAGTGCAGAATCTTTCGGGCGTTTGGCAGGATAAATTTTTTTTATGTGATAATTTCAATTTTTAAAAATATAATTTTTACATTCAATTTACGATAATATCTTAAAATTAAAAAATTTAAAAAATTTAATTTTTGGAAATTTCAAAAAATCTTGCATACCAAACCGGCCCAAAAGTTTAGCATTTCACATAGAAACAAGTCTAGATACACAGTACGGAGCAAAAGCCAAGAAACTACTCCTGAACTGAAACACGTCTTGAAGAAAATAACCAAAGGCTAAATTACTTGATTTAAGAGGTGAAGAGAACTACAAAGACCCTTTTTTTTTTTTTTTGATAAATACTACAAAGACCCTTTATCTTGAAAAGGAATAAGCTAAGGTTTCTGATTTTCCTCTTCCTGAACAAGACTCTGAACTTTGGGCTTTTTTCTACTATTTTTTTGAAATTCGGTTTTTTTTTTTAGAGAACAATCTGCGCCGCATCATGTCCAACAGTTGTGACTTCAGTTGTTTGTTTATATTCATGACATGCTTCGCCATCTTTATGGCCCATACACGAGACTCTATATTTGTTTCCACTTTCATTTGCATGGCCATGGCCATAGCCATTTCTGCTTTCTGCCCACAAGACAAAGCCCAAATTCCCACTTATATTAAATAAGTTACTCTTAAAATAAGAAAATAAATTATAAAATATAAAAAAATAAAGAAACTAATCCTTAAAGATAATACTTTAAACTATATTAAGATATAATCAATATTTTATACAATATCATGTGGACATTCTAAGAGGATGCATTATATAAAATTATTATACTGTATGTGTTAATAAATGGAAGCTAATATATATTCAAGGGAAAGGAAAAAACCTGTGAACAAGACATGTTCTGTCTCAAGAAACCAGAACTTCGTAAATCAATACAAGTTTGCTTTTCTTTGTAGAGGCGACACAAGGAAAGGAGAGTGTTTGTTCCGTTGGATGAGTTGATGGACTGAGAATACTTTTCAAGTGGAGAAACATTATACTCATTGGAGATTCTCCTATTGTTTGATGTATGGAGAACTGAGGACCTTGGCACTACCACAATATTAGTTACTTTCCCTGCTATTAATAAAACCATCGACCATTGCTTAATATATGTCTTTGTAACTTTGTTCTGAAACTTTTATCATCACTATTAAGTGCTTTTACAAACTGACATCAATGCATACAGAACGATGGTCTTCAAAATTCTTTTAAAGAATATTTTGCCAAAAGAAACAGTTTATACATGCCCAAATGAATGCCAACTTCCTCTACCATAAAAGAGAGAAGAACAATAACATAACTGGAGAGGTTGTGTTACCTTTTTGAAGACTTAACCTTCGAATGATTGCACAGTTGATGACATCCCAAATGCAGATCGTGCAGTCTTCAGAGGCAGATATTAGGCCTGCTTGACTCGTGGTCAAGGCAGTAATGGCTCCACTGCATGGTTCATAAAAGTTTAAGCTGATTATTATACTCAAGCTCATAATATGAACATAACTTATATTTAGGTTGGAAACTGCAATCAAAATTTGATCACTAAAGGAAGTTTCTCTTTACAGTTAAACTTAAACAGGTTGATTCTAAAACAAAGCATTTGAAACATTCAAACACCTCCATCCAATCTTGTATTAATAGAATTAGCTTTGGATTAAATATCTTGTAAATATTTATACAACAATAATTTAAAAGGGAGTTCTTTGTTTTTAACTTTATGCTCAGCTTCTAACCCTGTATACCACTTCACATTAAACCTCGACTAGCAAGGGTGAGGCGAGGCCAATCCTTATATGCAACCTTACCCTTCCATATTTACAAAGAGATTGTTTCTTAGATTTTAATCATGTATGCCGAGATGAAATTATATCCTCAATGAACATTGAGAAAAGAGAAGCTTCAAGGACCGTATATATATATATTACTTGTGTCCTTTCAATTCCAGTGGTTGGCCTATTGTGATAATGGAAGGACCTTCTTCCAGACCAAGATCAAGCTTGTTGACAATTATTGTTCCATTTACTGTTCCGTAAAACAAGAGCATCTCTACTTGGTGAAGGGCGATGGAAGTTATTGCCAAAGGATAAACTTGAGTTTGCATAAGCCTTCCTGAGATAAAGTCCCAGACCTATGATAAACGGAATATCCCATCTTAATATAAAGTCATCTCATGAAAATCTTACAGCATGTACCATAGTTTCATCACCTTGCATGTGCCATCAAGGGAGCTTGATACTAAAACTGAGTAACTGCTTGGTGTAGTTAAAAGACCTGTTATGGAGGACATGTGCCCTGAAAAACAATGTAACAAAGAAGGCAAGCTTCCCCTTTCTTCCACATCTAACAGACTTGCATCAAATTGAATAGAACAAATGTATCAATATAGAAGCGATTAATATCTATTCTATTGCATTTATTCGTGAGGCCAAAAATTGTCTTGGGAAAGCAAATTCAGTATTTACCTAATCATGGACCAAACACAGATCATACCATCATCTGAAGCAGAAATAAGAAGGGAATTGTCATCTGAAAATATCATGCAGTTTAGAGATTTATTATGAGCACTCCAAGTCTTCAGCAATTTTCCACTGGTCACCTACAATTAACCATATATAAATATATCAGAATTTCACCAAATACAAGTTTCCATCTAAATCTTACATGCAAGTTTATACCAGCGAGTGTTAGGACAAAAAATGGGCGAAGTTCAATCAATTTAATGGGAAATATGCATGTGAATAAAAACAGGACTGATGAGCTGAAAGTGACTAATTGAGAAAGTAGAATTTTAATATACAGATAACAAACATTTTTAGATAAAATAAATAATTCAAGGTGTTTTTACATACATCCCAGATATAAGCATTTCCAGACAAAGCTCCTGCCACAAGGTATATGCCATCTTTTGTGCAAGAAAGTGGCCCAAAGGCCTCCAGTGTGTAATTTGAAAGTGGTTGTTGAGGCTGAAACAATAACATATAAATAACAATGAAATATTCTGCAAAAAAATAATTTACCATTCATAAATTAAAAGGCAAGATAATCATTACTAGTAAGCACAAAGTACCACCGCTGTATGCCAATATTTACCTTATTCTGCATGGCAATATTTGCTAATAAACCATATCCATTGGTATATATAGTCATTATACAACACAAAGACCATGAATCGAATCCTAAACATGCATAATAGACTCCAAAAACAGCGGAGGCTGTTTCTGACTATAAATTGAAGATTCCAGAAACTGCTTTGACGTTTATTAAATAACCATTTGTAACTATGATTAAAGGGTTCCCTTTTTGTCATTTGACATGACAAGAGCACTTTCCTACACACAAATCAAGTGTGGGTCCCACGCTTAAAAAAAAAAGTCAGACCAAAGTCAGGATACGACGCGACGCCGTATCCTTGTTGCAGGAATGAACAGTGTCATTCCTGCAACATGATTCTTATATTTCCCATGATTAAATAGCCATTTGTAACTAAGATACAATTGCATTCAGATGCAAATTGTCATTTGTAACATTTATTGAATAGCCATTTGTAACTAGGATTAAATAGCCATTTGTAACTAAGATAAAATTGTATTCAAATTACGTTTGTTAAATAGCCATTTGTAACTAGGATTAAATAGTCATTTGTAACTTAGATACGACAGCCTTGTACCATCATCTATATATAGACGTTTTTTCCCAAATTGAACAAAATGGTTAGATACCAAACTCATTATGATATCAAAGCGATCCGCAAACACTTCCGCGTAACTCTGAATTATCTTGGTAGCATCCAGTACGTAGCCTAACCTAGTTGATAGCAGCATTAATGGCAAGTGAAGGTGGTCAAAGGCTTAAGGTCACATACCACAGTATATCAACTAAAGGCAAGTCTATCCACCATCAAACAACAAGGAGGCACGATGGGAGAATATTACACACGGCTACAAGCTATGTGGGACGAGCTTGAAGCAAGCAAAACAGCACACGATCGATAGGAAACTGCCTCAGCTTATGCTGCCCTGACACCTGAAGTAGCGGAACGATTGCTAACTCTGGTGGAGAAGCCACTACAAACCAAAAGGTTAACTGGTAATCTCTATAATACCTTTAAATGGCTGGTTGACAGCGAAGCATCCCAACATATGACTAGGACTTTATCTTTGTTAAAAGATATTGAAACCATAAAGCCCTTGGCAGTAGGCTTGCCTAATGGGACAACAACTCATGCTATCAAGAAAGAAACAGTAGTTCTTAATTCAGACCTTGTGTTACTTAATGTCCTATTTGTCTCCAGGTTGCAATGCAATTTGATCTTTGTAGCACAATTACTTCAGTCAAATGATAAAGAAGTGAAATTCACTAATAATAAATGTATATTAGTTTTTGGGGAGAATGCATATTAACTGTTGCACATCTTATAAATCGAACTCAATCCAAGCTTCTTGCTAGAAAGACCCCTTATGAACTGCTCTTTGGCGAGCCTCCGTCTTGTGATCATTTGAGAGCCTTCGGTTGCTTATGTTATGCACAACACCAACGCAAGTCATGCGACAAGTTTGACGCACGTGCCCAAAAATGTATCCTTGTGGGTTATCTTGTGAATAAAAAATGATGGAAGCTATTTGATCTCGAAACTAGAAAGTTCTTGGTGTCAAGGGATGTGGTGTTTGATGAAAATCTCTTCCTATATTCAAAATCATCAGCCCAGTCCAGTGACAAACATCGGCTTCCGATGCAACTTGCTTGTTACGATATGATGGTCCAACAATTAATGCAAGATAAAGATACACATGAAGAGCATGGGCCTGTAGGGACCACACCAGAACCTCCCTTGCAAGATGTTATGCAGCCTTAATTTAGCCGAAAAGAGGAGCTCATCAGAGCCTCTAGAGTCCTCACAATCTAGTACCACTACACCTTAGCACACTCAGTGCTGTGAAAGGAGACCACCAGAGTTTCTCAAAGATTATCGTTGCAATGTTGCACTTCATGCTCCCCCACGTCTCTGCACCAATACTAATGTCATCTCAGGTATCCCCTACTCTATTGCTAACTACTTATCTTATTCCTGTTTTTCCAACAACACCAAGAATTTCTTGCAGCCATCAATACATCCAGGGAACCAAGAAACTTAAGAGAGGCCATAATAGATGAAAAGTGGATTGTTGCTATGTCTCATGAAATCATAGCTCTAGAAAATAACCAGACGTGAGAACTAGTTGACTTGCCTGCCGGCAAGCGTGCATTGTCATCCAAATCGGTATTTCGTCTTAAGTATAATCTGGATGGATCGATCGAAAGATATAAGGCGAGGTTAGTTATCGCAGGCAATAACCAAGTAGCTGGTGGAGATTTCCATGAAATTTTCGCACCTGTTGCAAAAATGATCAGTGGGTGCACACTCTTAGTTGTTGCTACTGCTAGAAATTGGCATCTTTATCAACTCGATATGACAAATGCATTCCTAAATAGAGACCTCAATGAAGAAGTCTACATGTGATTTCCCTTGGATTTACTGCCACTTCCACTGATAAAGTGTGTCATTTGAAGAAATCATTGTATGGTTTGTGCCAGTCCCACAAAATTGGTTTGCTAAACTCAACACATTCCTTCACTCTTATGGTTTCACTCAAAGCAAGGCTGATTATACTTTGTTCCCTTTACAGAAGGGAGATGTTTTTGTCGTTCTACTTATTTATGTAAGTAGATATTATTTTGGCAGGAAACAGTGCTCCTGCATGCGATCAGGTTAAGTCCTATCTGAATTCTTGTTTTAAAATTCATGATTTGGGAGTTCTAAAGTATTTTCTATGGATCAAGATTGCTCACAATCCCCTTGGCATTTTCCTATCTCAACTGAAATATGCTCTAGACATTTTGTCTTAGGCTGGCTTTCTTGGATGCAAACCTGCTATGTTCCCTATAGAACAACATCATCGACTTATGCTAGCAGATGGGGAAGAGTATGAAAATCCAGCTCAGTGTAGACGCATTGTGGGTCGCTTGGTCTACCTCACTATCACAAGACTTGACCTATGTTATGCAATCCACACATTGTCCCAATTCATAAATCAGCCAAAGAAACAACATAATGATATTGCTCTTCACGTTCCAAGGTATATCAAACACAACCTTGGCCAAGGTCTGTTATTAAAATCTGATTGTGATCTCCATGTTCGAGCATTTTGTGACTTTGATTAGGCTGGATACCCACTCAGTATACTATCCATCATATGATTCTTTATTATGCTTGGTCAATCTCGCATATCTTGGAAAACCAAGAAACAAGGCACAATTTTAAGATCCTCAACTGAGGCTAAGTATAGGGCCATAGCTACTACAATTGCTGAGTTAGTATGGTTAAAAGCTTTCCTCCTTTCTCTTGGTGTCACTCACAACAAGCCTTTGGAATTTTTCTACGACAACTAGGAAACCTTACACATTGTTGCCAATTCAGTGTTTCATGAAAGAACAAAACATATCCAGTTGAACTGTCATTTCCTAAGGGATCATCTTCAGGCAAACACCATTTCTACTTCATATGTTCGGTCCAACTGTCAATTAGCATATATATTTACTAAAGCATTAGGGAAAGTTGCATTTTCTTCCATCCTTGCCAAGTTAGGTGTTTCATTCCTACATACTCCAACTTGAGGGGGAGTAATAAACTCCAAAAACAATAGATGCTGTTTTTTAATTAAAACTAAAGATTCCAAAATTTTCTCTACTGTCAATTTGTAACGTTTATTAAATAGCCATTTGTAACTAGGATTAAATAGTCATTTGTAACTAAGATACAATTGTATTCAAATTTAAATTGTCATTTGTAACGTTTATTAAATAGTCATTTGTAACTTAGATACGACAGCCTTGTATCACCGTTTATATATAGATGCCTTTCCTAAATTGAACAACATGATTCGATACCAAACTTATTAATACATTTTCTCTGGAACTATCAAAACACAGAGAACGGGCAAGATGTGGGAAAATTGGCTAAACACTTAGTGTGTGTGTGTATATATATATATATATATATATGGTTGACCAATCTTTTCAATAAGATTCTTCAGAAAAATAAGATGCCTGATGCATAGAGGAAAAGTATGTTTGTGCCTATTTACAAAAACAAGGGAGATATTCATAATTGTTTTAACTATAGAGGCATTAAGCTAATGAGCCACACTATGAAATTGTGGGAGAGAGTTATTGAACATCGCTTGAGGAGAGAGACCAAGATTTCTGTAAATCAATTTGGGTTTATGCCAAGAAGATGTACCATGAAGCCATTTTCTTGATGCAATAATTAATGGAAAGATATTGAGAAAAAAAGAAGGACTTACATATAGTGTTCGTAGATCTTGAGAAAGCATACGACATTGTCCCAAGAAAAGTTTTATGATAGGTTTTTGAAAAGAAAAAAGTACCATCAAAGTATGCAGACAATCATGGATATGTATGATGGGACTACTACATGTGTGAAAGCTTGTAATGGAACATCAAGTTATTTTCCTATCACAGTAGGTGTACACCAAGGTTCGGCTCTAAGTCCTTATCTCTTTGCCTTAGTTATGGATTAACTAACAAAAGATATCCAAGAGAAAGTGTCATGGTGTATGCTTTTTGCAAATGAAATTGTACTTATTGATGAGACCAAAGACGGTGTTAGTAGAAATCCTGAATATATGAAGTGTCATGGTGTATGCTTTTTGCAAATGAAATTGTACTTATTGATGAGACCAAAGACGGTGTTAGTAGAAATCCGGAATTGTGAAGAAGCACGTTGGAGTCTAAAGAATTCACGTTAAGCCGGAGCAAGACTGAGTATATGAAGTGTGAGTTTTCTCTAGTAAGAGATGTAGACCAAGATTCCGTGCATCTACTTGGTCAAAAGGTACCCAAGAAAAATGTTTTTAGATACTTAAGATCCATTCTGCAAAAAGGTGGAGAGATTGATGAGGATGTAAATCATAAAATTAGAGTAGAGTGGATAAAATGGCGTAGTGCTTCTGGGTTTTTGTTTGACCGCAAAATTTCCCTTAAGCTAAAAGGAAAATTCTATAGAACAGCAGTAAGACCTGTTATGTTATATGGAGCTGAATGTTTCCCAGCACATAGGCAACATGCACATAAAATGGGAGTAACAGAGATGAGGATGTTAAGGTGGATGTGTGGTTATACGATGATGGATAAGATAAGAAATGAAGATATTCGACGAAAGGTAGGAGTACTACCGGTGGCTGAAAAGATGAGAGAACATAGATTGAGGTGATTTGGGCACGTAAAGAGAAGGCCCTTGGATGCTCCCGTAAGAACAAAAGTTGTTACCAGGAAATCGACAAAAAGAAAGGTAGAGGTAGACCGAAACTTACTTGGGAGAAGGTAATAAAACAAGACTTAATGGAGTGGGATATAAATCAACGGACGATATGCCTTAGGACGAAATGAAAAAAAGCTATTTGCATGGTGGAGGGTTAGACCCGTTATTATTCCTATATTTCATATGGTCCCTTATTAATCATTTTCCTCTTCATCTCCCCCGCCCCCCTTTTCTTTTCCTTTCCCCTTCCCCATCTTCTTCTTCTTCCTTTTTTTTTATTTTTACACCCTTTTTATTTTTACTTATATGTGTGTGTGTGTGTGTTTTATTTTTACTTATATATATATGTGTGTGTGTGTGTGGTAGGTTCCTCGTTCATTGTACCCTGGCGTTTGTAATGTACCAAAGAGAGAAAAAAATACTTGTGCTTGTGTGATATTTATGGATAATACTAAGTGTTTAGCTAATTTTCCCACATCCTGCCCTTTCTCTGAGTTTTGATAGTTACAGAGAAAATGCATTAATAAGTTTGGTATTGAACCATGTTATTCAATTTGTTGATTTCCGTCCATCTAACGATTGTTATTTATTTGAAATTAATAATTAATTAATTAGTATGACTCAACAAACTATAATTGTTAGATGAACGAAAATTAATGGTTAAGATGAGGAATAAGACTTTTAAATCTTACTCTGTAGTCAAAAGATCTCTCCCTATGTATATATATGGGGAAGGATATTATTACACCGGCATAAGAGTTAGAAGTCTTACACTCAATCTTAACCATTGATCCACTTATATCCAATGGCTCACATTACTAAAAAATTAGAGCCCTTAAATAAAAGTGGGATCAACGGACAAGATTGAGAGTGTAACTTACACTAATGTAAAATGATCATGACCCTATATATATATGTGTGTGTATTTAGTAAGTAAGAAACTAATTAGTTTTTTTAAAATATAGTTAAGCACATAACACAAGGACTCCAATTTCTTAATGTGAAATTGTGAATCTAATAATTCTAACCATTTCTCTTCGGACAAATAGACGTATGTATTTGAAACATAAATAAGAAAAACAATTAAATTAGTCATTATATCACAAACAAACAATTACTTTATTTTAAATTCTTTTTTGTATATAATTCATCTGTTAAACTAGAACAACCCCTTAGCATTTAATCCACGTGCTTGGTGGTACAATTACTTTATTATTTTTTACCATAGCAAATGTTATGTAGTTCTATCTTTGTTGATTTTGATATTTGTAATTAGGGTTTATCCGACTGATTTTTATTCAGCCATGGGAGATGATTAATTAGCCATTGAGTGAGTTTTAGGATCGTTTACAGGAAGGTACCTTTGTACAGGAAGGTTTGCAAACCCTCGAAGTTTTGCAAAAAAAAATTCTTTTGGTACAAAGTTTTGCAATTTTATTTTATTTTATTAGTGGTTTTAATTTTTGCAATTAATTAGATTTTACCCTTATTTTTAGGTAATAAAATGCCTGGTTCAGTTCAAAAATAATTAATAATGTGGAAAAAATATACCTGGTTCAATTCAAAATTTTGTACATAAGACTTCAATTCTTGTATTAATTAGAGTTGACTATACCTGGTTCAATAAAATAAGATATCAATAAAATATTTGATTCAAGAATAATTAATAATATGAAAATAAATATTTGGTTCAATTCAGAAATTTCTATATAAGACTTTAATACCGGTATTAAATAGAGTTGACTATATAAACACTTAAGGAGAAATTAATATTTATTTACTGGCTATTTAATGTTTTTGAAATTGAATCATCAATTTTTGAACCAATAATGAGAAAGATTCAAGATTTTGAAGTCCAATTCCCCACCACAACTATCAAAGCATTGCATCAAATGCACAAGTATAACATTATTTGTGAAAGATATTCATGGTAAGTATAATATTTTCCTTTATGATATTATCACATTACAATGATATGCCATTCTGCCAAGTATGGAAAGAAACGGGAAAACCGCCCTTAACGTTATTAAGTCCTTTCTCTCTGCTTTCAATTTTTCCCCAATTTCCAACAATACAGTTATGGTGGAAATGATAACAACTTTATAATTTGTTATCCGTTTGCTTGTATGTATATATCTTGGAAAAATGTTTAAAATTTTATCATGCAATCACAAAAATGATGTGGGTTTTGGGTTTTTAAAAAAAAAAATACAGTATATTTTGAAAATTTTATATTTCTTTTATAGTATGAATTTTATTAATATGCCATCAATTATTATTCTCAAATCTCAAAACGATATCATTTTGCGATCGTAGGAAATGATTTTATCTCACATGATAGGAGAAAAGTTAATTTCATATATTTTATCAAAATTTACAATAAAATTGTTAACACTCTGCGTTTTACTCACAAAAATGCGAGAATCTAGATCTCAATCCAGTGTACACATCAAAATGGTAATTGCATATAGTTTTCAAAACACTGGATCAATAAATAAAGCATTTACGGTTACCTATTTGTAGCTTAGGGATGTGAATTCAGACTAAAAAAAAATAGAATTAAAAAAAAAATTAAAACTAACCCCATTCATTAATTGGGAGTTTCAGTTGATAAAACGTTACCTTGTTCAAGGCCCAGACAACAATGGCTCCACCGCCAACAGACCCATGTTTGTTAATTTGTGATGCCACGAGGAACCGGTTTCTTAAGCACACCAATCCGAAAGATTGTGAAGCACAGGTTGGTATGTGATGAAGGTTTTCTCCTGTGTCCATGTCCCATATCGTCACCCCAATTTTCATGCTCTTGTCACTGCACGCCACCAATGCCTCTCCTTCTATCACCATCTTTCTCTGGCTATAAGAGAGAGACCCTTTAGTTTCTAAAGATTGAATTGAATTATGATGCATGTTATTAGGCGAATGAAATGTCTTGAAAAAACACAAAGGTGGTTGAGATTTATTTTTTTTGGCTTGGCATTTGTCTAAATGCTAAGAGGGTTGCTTCTTTTTGCAAGTGTTGCTCATGCTACAGGTGCAGCTCAGCTTTTGCAATACACTTGAAGACACGTAGTTTGTAGCAGAGAACATTAAATGCAGATTGAGGTGGAGATTGCATGTTTCATGCTTCGTAAAATGTATGTGGCTTGGGTTTGACCCGGTTGAATCGGACCAAATCTAGTTATGTTGTGGCTTTAGGCCTGGGTTAAGCTAAAACTGGGCTATTATAATGCCTGCCCAATAAATAAATGTGATTTTCAAATATATTATAATGAAAGAAATGTACCAAAAGAAAGTAATGAAAATAGGAACAGCAATAAATAATTAAATAAATAATTAAATTATCGAATTATATTTCAATGGAGGGATAATTCATTTCTCTACAATAAACATCTACATATATCAAAATAAATTGGAAGAAGATATAATATAAGAATCTGGCAATAGAGTCATTAACTTACCAAGTTTCTCTCATTCTCGTGAAGTACAAGACACTAAATTTAGCATGAAAGGAAAAAATAGAAAATTAATTAGAAGGTTTGTCATAAACATGAAAAATCTTTGGACGATGGGATGTTAGGTTTAGGGGTGTTCGCAGTCTGGATTAGATCGATTTTAAAGCAAAAATTATCTAATCTAATACCTTCGGTTTGATCATTTAATCATTGATTCGGTTTAAATTTTTTTAAAATCTAATCCAATTTCTTCGGTTTAATCATTCATTCGATTCGACTTTTTTTTCTTAAATCTGATCCAATCCAATCTAATTTTATTCGGATTGAATTTGATCGGTTTATGATTTTTCAAGAAACTAAAGTTTCAGTCAAACAAATCATTTGGTATATCAAAATAAAGTCATTCAAGGTTACAAACCACTTGAAAATTCAAGTCTTTAAACTAAAACAAGTCTTAAAACTCATGAAAAATAAGATAGTTTGCTATCAATAATATTAACATCCAAGATTCCAAGTTACCATCTTTGGAAAATAATAAATACGTAATACATTGGATCGATTTGGATTGGATCGATTTTCACTAACCAAACCGAAAACCAATCCAATCCAATTAAATATACGGGGTTTTTTCAATTTTTTATTTTTCGATTTTTGATTAATTTGGTTATCGATTTTTTGGTTCAATCATCGCGGTTTGAATCAGTTGATGAACACCCCTAGTTAGATCGTTCAAATTTTTTTCCATTTTTTATTAAGTTATTATTACATTTAATGCTATAAGAATAAGGTATTGGATATTGTCATGATTAAAAAGTCTTTCATCCTTGTGATCTTACTTGATTCAGCCAGATTAGATGATTAATTAATAAAAGAAAGAGAAATTTTGAAGAAGAAAAAACTCCAAAAACAAATTAAAAAATGCTCTGATCAATAGTTTTTTTTTTCAAGATTTAAACTTTGATTTTCTTGCAAAGAATGTGACCTAGTCATGACTATCATTAATATTGTCAGTGACGAAATATAATTGACCCAACTTAGCATTCAGTATCTTGACCACCTGGTGATTGATCCAAGGATAAAACTTGAACACCTTATCCAATGGTGTGTGGACCATGATCACATTGACCATAATCCTCAAAGGTACAAATAATATGTAATACTTGAAAAAATATGAATAATAACAAAATGAAGGATAAGATATATGAGGTATCCTTAAAAAAATTTTAAAGAAAGTCGCACAAAATCCAAACTATGGGAACGTCAAACTAGGATGTTAAGCAATAAATGCTTTAGGCATTCAATGCATTTAAACTCTTTTTACATTTATGGGGACCAAAGTCATTAGACTAATCAAAACTAGACATGGGTCGCATAACTGCCAAAAAGATATTCGATATGCACTTATCTCCTTTAAGCCTCAGCCAAAACTTAAAGAACCGAAGAAGAAACTTTTGATAATAAATCCTCAAGAAAGACATATGTAGACAGGCCTTGACCAAATTCAAAAACCTAAGGGGGGAAACCTCATATAGTAACCCCTTTAGAAGGTCATAAAATCAAAGATTACATTATTCACGATCTAATTGCACTATATATTTCAACATTTCTAAGAATGAAGCATTGAGTTGTGGCAGAACTTTTTTTGACCACTACATGGTCTAATAGTCAGCCCACTAAGCACCTTGATATCCACGTTATAGGTTGGTGCATGCAGCGTCGCGCTACACCTAACATCGTGATCGACAACTTTATTTGGGTACGACCCTACTTCAAAGCAAAGCTTCTTCAATAAACTTCCTTGTTCTATCATAGAGATAGAAGTGTCTAGTCAACGACTGGTATGTTGATCTTGAATTTAGGGCTCTCTCAGGTATCTATGAAGGTGATACCTTTGAGAAAACAGATCACTGTGCACAAAATAATGGCGTAGCCAAAGGGGTGGTGTGTGTATACAGTGACAACATATATCACATAGAGTAAGTGTCATACATATAGACTTTACCTCTTATTTATAGAGTTTACCTATGGGTAGTAGAATTATGGATATTTAGTGGCTTTTCTGGGGGCCCAATGCTAAGTCCATTGCTATCGTACTAGGGTTAATATCAATCAAGGATTCTTTCCCTTTTTTGCCTGTTTCTGTTGCCCTTTCTTGGGCCTTTTAGAATATAGGCCCATAATAATTGCCCCTCAGTCCGGTAATCTGGGTGATCAGACTACCGGGATGTAGGTTATGTCGTGCTCGTGGCTACGTGTTTGCCTATTGTCTCCAGGTGCTGGGTTGCAATTCTTCGTAGTCGGGGTAGTCATGTTGTAGTAAAATTGCTTTTATTCGCGTTCGGGTTACTTCGGACGCTCATGGTATTTGGAATTTGGCCACGTTCTTGGTTCAAACTTTGATGTTTGTTCCTAAATGTGTGGCTTTGATAATTCTGATTTGTGTTGGGTTGCTATCTGGGGTCCCCTATTTCCCTTAAAATATTTTTGCCAAGGTACTAGATATGCCAGCCTTTTTCTTGCCGAGATTTATGACTCATCTATGTTTCTTTCTTTTGGAACTTCGCTTCTATTCCGAGATTTGGGACCTAAGGACCTGATTTTCTGTCTATGTGCCTTCTAAGCGACGATTTCGCCTTTATGCGTAGCATTTTCTCATTGGTGAGACATGCCTTGATTATTACGTGTCACATTCAGGCTCTGTGCGCACTTATTGCTGCTGTCATACATTGCTTTCGACCATTTTATCATCAGGAAATTATCACTTTACCCCTTACATTTCGAGTTCGCGCCCATAACCGTTAACTTACTCATTTGGCTTTATGTTTTCATTTCTTCTCAGTTGTCTTCCTTATTCTTCCTCATTTGGGTTTTCTGGCTTCATGCTTTTGCAAAATCCTCCATTTCTTCACTTCGAGCATAACTTTGGGTTGTTTAAGGGGGCGTCTTCGCAAAATACTCATACAGGTAACCTTTAAGCACTTATCCCCCTTTTTTTCCTGTGTTTACTGCATTTGGTATCTTTACTATTGTTTTGTTCGAACTCTTTGGGGTTCGTTGTTTTGGTGTTTCTGCTTTCCACTTTGCGCTTTTTGGGTAGCTTTAGTTGTTGGCATAATGTACCCATTTTCTGGGTTTTCTAGGTTTATAACACTTCCCCCCTAAATTTCCAAATACACGAGTGTTGTTGGGGATGAGTGGGAGAGATTCGAGTGGGCGAGAGGGGAAACGCAACATCCGAGAGGTTTCGGTCGAGGTGATGAGGTGGAAGAGGACAAGTTTAAGTTTGTCCAGAGTATTCCTCTTAGAGCTAGGTTTTAGCTTTGGGGCGTAAACTGGACTGAGGAGGAAAAACAGACGGTGCTACTCTGTGGTTATCATAGTGGGGGTAGCAGGAAGAGGCTCGTGATGCATCCCTCTAGCCGAGGCTGTGGCTCATAACTATTTTGCGATGATACTAGATTCGTGTCTCCGAGTTCGTAGACTGCGGCTCCTTTTATGCACGTTTCTCCGCAAATTGATCTTCTTATGGCGTGATTACTTTTTTGAATCGAGATCCTTGTCTATCTGCTTCTAGACCGCATTCACCTCAGCTGGAGATGGAATCCGAGTCTAGGGCCTGTCCAGCTTGTTCGTTTTTATGTTCTAAAATTTTTGAGCGCAACTTAATGTCTTTGGCTCGGTCAACTTTAGTTGATTGTACTTATCAAATAAATGTCTCCCAGCTGAGTTCGAGTCCTGGGGATGCCTCTCATCCTATTGAAATTTTGGATGAGACTTCTAGCTCGTCCAGGAGTAGTTCTTTTGATTCGAGCATGTCTGCTCATTTTATTGATTTCGACTTTTATTGTTCTAGGTTGTCTATGGAGCCATCTTAGCTGATTTAATATCTCGGTTCCTTTCGGTTACTTACGAATTTTTGTAGATGAAGTCATCGATGGGCTCTGAGGATGTAGTCAGGCTTGCAATGGGTAACATGGATGGTTATGACATTCTTCCCCTTACTGGAGATAAGCTCATTTGTTCAGGTCGGAACCCGAGCAAGCCTCTCTTTTTTTTCTTTTATCAAGAATTGATCACCAAGGTCGGTCTTCCGTTTCCATTGACTGAATTCCAAATAGTTGTGTTAGCTCATCTCTGTACAGCCACATCTTAACTTCATCCTAATGGTTGGGCTTTCATCAAGGCTTTCAAGCAATTGTCTGCATATTTGACTTTGTGTTGCTCCGTGCCGCTTTTTTTTCACTTCTTCAACGTTTATACATCCCACATCGGGTTCGAGCCAAAGGAATGGAAGTATTGGACTAATATCCGAGGTTGCATGAAAAAACTGTTGTTTACCGTGTTTCCAAACTCTTTCAAGCGATTTCAGGGCCACTTCTTCAAAGTTGTGGCCCAGGTTGGACGTCATCCATGGTTTCTCTTTACTAAAGAGGGAGAAGAGGGGAAATATCCACTCTACTGGTTATATGATCATCATAATTCCTTGTTGTCCAGCTACTATTTCGTTTAGACCACTCTTTCTGCCGAGGAACGGGCTGCAGCCAGGGCATTGTTAAAATACGTGGATAAACACGGTCTTGTCAGCTCGTCCTCTTTTGTGTTCAAATCTCAGGTCAAGCTAGATCAGGAACTAAGTATGCTTTTTCTTGCTCTATTTTTAGTCTTGGTTAATTTTCTTGCTGCATTTTCTTGTCAATTTCGTTCTAATTACCTTGTTTATTTTCTTTTTGATTTTGCAATTCGAAATATGACCGACCCCAATTTTCTCGCAGCTCTGAACAAGGGTAAGACGACAGCAGTTTCCGACTCCAAAACAAAAAAGAAGCGTAAGGATTTTGAAATCGTTTTTGCTGAGAAAGAATCTTAGGGCATCCTCGTTTCCCATACCAGCACTTCTGCTCAGGGCAGCTATTCCTCGGTTGCAGCCACAACCATTCCCTTGACTAAGGAGGCCCCTCCTCCTCCTCTGAATATGGGGATTCTTCAGAAAGGGGAACTTTGGGAATCTGGGGTGTCAACCGAGCTCCGATGAGTCATCCGCCCTCCCCAGCATTTTTTGGATCCCAAGCTCCTCTCTGCAGATGCACTCAAGGAGCTTCATGAGATAGAGGTCACCGCATTGAAGGCGTCTTCCTTGATTAGAACCTTTGTCATTACGCATGGCAAGTATGCTAAGGCACATTCTGAAGCTGCTTCCCCTTCAAATTGAAAAAGATATATTATGGATGAAAGGATGACCTAGATCAGAGCTTATAAGAGGGTGGAGGAGGAGTCGAAGAAAGCCAAGGAAGACTTGGAATCTACCACTAATACCTTGTAGGAGAAGTCTGATGCCTTGGAAGCGGTTGAGAAATCTTTCGAAAAGCAATATGCCATCATTAAAGCCAAGGATACCGCCCCAGGAAAAGCTGCAAACTGAGTATAATAACCTCTATATGAAGTTATCCAAGGGGGTTGAAGGCTCCTTTATTAATACAATTGATCAGGCCAGGCTCTTTAACCTAGACTTGAAGAACGGGGGGATGCATTATCGCAGCTACATAGAGGATAGGGTCATCGTCCTTCTTCATCCCTGTAAAGAACAAATTCAATCCAAAAGTTTAAGCTATTGGGTGAGGCTATATTAGTGATTTTATATATCTCAACACGCCCTCTCACACGAGAGCCCACTTAGCTTGAAGGGTGGACAATGCACAGGTCCACCTACCTGTGCGAAGAAAGAAATTCCACTAGAAATAAAGTCAGGGGCGGTGAGGATTGAACCCGGTACACCGAGGTTCCCATACCATGTAAATAACCAATTCAACCTAAAAGCTTAAGCTATTGGGTAGGGCTATATTAATGGTTTTATATATCTCAACAATCCCCAAGCTCCGTCGACCAAGGTTGAGGAGATCGAAGAAAATGAAAGGGAGGAGTTGGATTTCACTGCCGTGGTGGACAAATTATTGGAAGAGCAGCCTATGTAGCGAAGTGAAGGGTCGGAATGCCAATTTTGACTTGTATTTCTTTTTGTTTTTGGATGGGCCCTTTAGCTTGTTTTGGCTTTGTAATGAATATTGTTGGGTCTATTCTCGGACTTTTATTTTCTTGTTACGGTTATTTGATTCATGCTTTTTGTTTCGAGTTTGTTGATTCATATCTATCTTTTTTAGGCTAACTATGGTCGGACACGGGGTTCGCCTTCTCCAGGTTAAGCACGGCTTATTTGCCGATGGTTTAAGTTGGTGGAGACATCTTTCATTCTTCCGTTGGCATTGCGTCTGTCTTCCCGAAAATGAGATTGACTTCATATTTCATGGTGTTCTTACTTTCGACTTGTCTTTAACCTTTCTGATTTTGTGCTCAACTTCGCATGTCATGGATTTCTTGTTTGACGTGGCTTTTTGCCCGTCTTAAGATTATGAAGGCAACGTTCGCCAATCGACGACCTAACTTTATTTTATCTCGGCCCATCTTTGCATATCACGGCTCTTTTATTCGGACTTGGCTTCTCCGCCAAAGTCAATGTTTACGAAGGCACTATGTTCGCCTTCTTGTCTTTTGAATCCGACTTCGTTTGTCCTGATTTTCTCATTGGACTTGGCTCTTTTTTTTCTCAAAATCTAGTTTATGAATGCGTTCTCTGTAATGAGCCCGACTTCGTGTACCATAGATTTATTTTTTGATTTGGCTTCTTTGCTCAAATCTTAAGTTTACGAAGGCGAATTTCGCCTTCTTTGTAGTGAGTTTGACTTCTTATACCATGGATTTTTTAGTTCGACCTGGCCAGGGTCGTATTTAGTTTATGGAGACGATTTTTGCATCTTTTTGTTTAAGTCCAGCTTCGCATGCCATGGCTTTTTGATAGACTTTGGCTTTTTGTGCCAAAGTCTTAGATCCTTGAAGGAGGAGTGCACCTTCTTTGTGTTCAGCTCGACTTCATTTGTCGTGGCTTTTTTTATTCAGACTTGGCTTTGTTGCCGAAGTCTAGTTGGTGGAGTGCGCCCTTCAGATTGTAAGCCCAACGTCGTTTACCATAACTTACCAATACAAACTTAATTGAATAGTTTCCTGTTTTATTTGAAATGATAATTTTTACATGAATGTGTCGGGATAGCCGACTTTAGTTTGCCCCTCTGCAAAAATAGAAATTCGCCTAAGTATCTAAAAACAAATTTAAAAAATAACAGCTGTTTTTAGCCACAACTTCGAACTCAACTATAATACTGCTTCAATTTGTCCGCGTTCTAGGTTCTTTTGATAAGCTTCTTCTCCAATGTTTATAGTATGTATGCTCCCTTGTTGGCACTCATGTTCTATCTTAGAGATAGAAGTGTTCAGTCAACGACTGATATGCTGATCTTGGATCTAGGGCTCTCTCGGATATTTATGAAGGAAATACCTTTGAGGAAGTAAATCATTCTGTACAAAATAACGATGTAGCCAAAGATGTGGTGTGTGCAGAGTAGCAACATATATCAAAGAGAGTAAGTGTCATACTTATAAGCTTTACCTCTTATTTATAGAGTTTAACTATGAGTATTAGAATTCTGGACCTTTAGTGGCTTTTCTGGGGGCCCCAACGCTAGGTCAATTGCTGTCGTACTAGGGTTAATATCAATCAAGAATTATTTTCTTTGTTTTCCTATTTTTATTATCCTTTCTTGGACCTTCTAGAATATGAGCCTTTTATATGGGCCCATAACATTCCTCAAAACAGCCATGTCCTAACCCTATATAAAGGCTCACATGCTTCATAATAACAAATTTTATAGACCTATTAATATATGATTTATGCTTCAATGTATATACATTTATTTTTATTTATTTTTGGATAACAATGTATATACATTTTTGTTGCAATGTGAACTATACTTTTTCACGATATGACTTTAGCGTTGGAGTCTTTAGAGGTGCATATCACCCCTTGCCATATAAGAATTGAGATAAACAATCTATTATAACTCACAATTAACACACCAAATAAGGATTTACACAATCACCCTTCCTTGTCCCAAGCTTAGATGAGATACTATTTCAAAAAAAAGTTTTTAGAAAGTGAAGTTAAAATGTTTGATTAACATAATTGATTTAATGATGAAATAAATTAACAATAACATTAATAATAATGCTAATTGATAGTAATAATATGTTAAATAAAACAGATTCCAAATACATATGTACAACTATATTTATTTGAGCCTTTCATGTTGCCTCTCAACGGTGGCAATTCTTTTTTTTTTTTTGGAGTTACCCAACCCTAATTATCTCTTTGAGACGAGTTGACTCCTTCCGGTATCCCCACGAGCTTCGACTCTTTGAGCCGGCTATGAGACTAATCCGGAGTGCGGGGAACAGTTGCAATTCTGGCTGTGCGATGATAATTAGTTACTAATCATTTTTTAAAATTAAAACTGAAATTTTTCTCCGACACACGTGTGCCAGGCACGTTCGTTCTTGAAACTCTAGTGCTGGGGAAACTGATGAAATGATAAGAAAGATATTTCTGAAGCTCAACATCTGTTTCCCGCTTCCAACTCCATTAGGAGGAGCAGCTCCTAGCAAAACCCTCATCCACCCTTAAACGCCACTAATCATTAGGGTTTTCATTCATCTAAGTTGCAGTCTCTGATTCTGAGTCTGAGTCCTTCGCTTTTTCTTCTCTCTTGTGTATCCATAGAAGAATGGCTACTACTTTTCTTTCCTTTTGTCCTCACACTCTCTGTTACCCTCACCTAACAAGGCGTCCCCTTTCTTGCTCTTTTTCCTCTTCTGCTCTCTCAGGTAATCCATCCTGTTTCGCATTTCATGGTTCTATGTATGAAATTTGGAAGAATTCCTATTTGTTTTTTTGTTATTTTTGGATAAACTTGGATTAACTGCATGCGGTTCTGTTGAGTAATTTTCCAGTTAAGGTTTACCGTTTGGAACAGGATATTTATAACTCAATTCATAGTCTTCAAGTAGTTTTTAAGACACCAAGGTCTAATGTTAGCACTCTCGGAAGGGGTTTTGATGTGTAATATATATTAGGAATTGGGTGCTTTTGAGTGAGTAATGAATTCTACTGCAGGTATCGCTGTGTATAGTTGTGAGTTTAATGATAATGTTGCTTCATTTTCTTTTTCCTCTTCCTTCCACCTTTTAAGAAATTACTTTACAGCTAAAGGTCACCTGTAATCTTAATCTTATGCATGATTATTTAATCTTTATGTTTGTTGTGTTTTGTTAGCAAGACGTATGTTAGAAGGAGGAAGGGTGAACTTATGATGAATAGTAGCTAGTTAGTTAGCATGACTGATTAGTTGGTCTTAACAGTTAATTAGTTGGAGAATCTCCAACCGAAATAACAAGTGTTAGTTATGTAGTTGGGAGGGCCGGGAACAGAAAATATAAGAGGAAGAAGGAAAATAGAAGAAAGTAGGGTAGGACAAAAGTTGATGGCCAGGGATTTCAATCCCTTGTAGTTGAGAAAAAAAAATATTCTAATCTTCTTCTAGTCTCTACCTTCTAGGTTTGATTCAGATCCTAAGGAAGAGCTGTAGCAATACAATTTCATTCTTTTCTTGAACTTTCTTTCAATCTTGAACCAGTTTCTGTCATTTTTATACTGTGTGTTTCATGTAGATACTGATGGATCTAAAGTACCGCGCAAAAGATCAAGAAAAATAGAAGGTCCTAGAAAAAGCATGGAAGACTCTGTTCAACGCAAAATGGAGCAATTTTATGAAGGATCGGATGGGCCACCCCTCCGAGTTCTTCCTATTGGTGGGTTGGGAGAAATTGGGATGAATTGCATGCTTGTTGGGAACCATGATCGCTATATCCTCATTGATGCCGGTGTCATGTTTCCAGGGTACGTCTTGCAACTCCAATGCCCCCTCCTCTTTTGCTTGCTTATCAGTCATTTTGAGCCCACTGAATAAGCTTGAAGTGTTTAAGTAGGCAATTTCTTATGAAAGACTTTAAAATGTAAACACTAGCCAAAATTGGCATTGCATCCTACATATAAGACCAGATGATCTTTTCTATATGAAGGTCGTTCGAAAAATTTAAATCCCATTTGCACTTTCAAGTCACTATCAAATTGCTGCTGCACGATTGTCGTTTGCTCTGATTTCATATACTTTTTAAGTTAACTGACCTTGATTTATATATGGATCACATATTCCAGCTATGATGAGCTTGGGGTCCAAAAGATCATTCCTGATACAACATTTATAAGAAAATGGAGCCACAAAATTGAAGCAGTTGTTATAACACATGGTCATGAAGATCATATCGGTGCGTTGCCTTGGGTAATGCTTCCTTCTCCAAGAAAACTTCTGGTTTGATAAATACCTTTTTGTCAACTAGTTCTGTTTGACAAATTGCATTAAATCTGTTTGAGTATTTGTAATGGGATATAATGCCCAGTGCTTAATGCATTCTCCCATAATAAAATGAGACTGAACTTAAAAAGCTCTTAGTTAGATGAAGAAATCAATATCTGGTGCCTTTGTTGCTATGATATTAATGCTAAGGGCTTCGAGGAAGATATACAACCAACAAATAGATTAGTTCTCTAATTAGTGGCTTTGGGATTGTGGTATGTTTAAGGACTGAGGCTCATGGATACATTTACTGGCCGCTCATTGAATACTCTTTTACAGGCTTAACATATGTCTAATGTAATGGTTGAGTGTACTCCCTTTTGCTTAGTGTGTCTGTTTTCCTTGCTTGGGAATATATAGTCTTTTAAAAATATTATTACTTTGAAAGTTGTGGTCTTAGTGTCTTACACCCAAAAGGTGTCAGGAAACCTCGTATGTCCGACAAAAACTTGAAACAGTCATACCCACAAAGCTTTGTGGAATAGGATCGCTTCAGTCCTCCATATTTTTATTTCTTTTAGAATCTAATGAGTTATTCTCTTATATAAAAGTATTTTGTTCTTACTGTATGTTTTCTAATACTCTATTTTTTCTCGAACATTTAATCTAATTGATTATTCTTTTATTAAAGCAATATATTTTGTCATTTCCTTTTATCTGTCCTTACTATAACTTTTACTTGGTTCATCAGGTCATCCCGTCATTGGATTCTCATACGCCAATTTTTGCATCATCCTTTACAATGGAGGTAAGAAGAAATCTTATTGTTACTTTGTTGCTAAAATGCTACTTGTGAATTAGTTCATTTGTCATATGAATTAACAATAGTGTTCCATAATCCGTAGGAAGTGATAGGAGTTAGGTGTTAATGTTAACATATCTTGAAGTTGACTGACTAATTCTTGAACACTTTGTTGTGTGTCACACCATATTAGTATTTGTTATCATGAAAAATGTGGCACGGTTATGTCATCAAAGTTCTGTTCTTGTCATTGCTTATTTTGTTCATGGTGGTCCAGAAAAAGTGAATTTTTTTCTTCTTAATAGCTTATAAGGAAACGTTTGAAGGAGCATGGTATTTTTGTTCCATCCCGACTCAAAATATTCAGAACAAGGAAGAAGTTTATGGCTGGGCCATTTGAGATAGAACCTATTACAGTGACCCATTCTATTCCTGATTGCTGTGGATTAGTTCTTCGCTGTTCTGATGGCACTATTCTTCACACTGGGGATTGGAAGGTTAGAATTTTACTATGTTTCTCAATGCATTGTCCCTTTCGTCTACCCTGAATCTCCTGTTGCTGAACAAGTTGATTCAACAGATTGATGAAACACCATTAGATGGTAAAGTTTTTGATCGTGAAGCTCTAGAAGAACTCTCTAAAGAAGGAGTCACATTGGTGAGTCCCCTGGATCTTTGAATTGTTGTGATGTTTCTGTGGGCGGTGCATAAATAGTCCCTTTCAGGGTGAATATGGTTTTCATGATCAGTCATATGCTGATAGAGTTGCTCAAAGGGTAACATTTTTATACTTTTTCAAAGTTTCAAGTTGTAATCTTTTTGGTGATTTGCTTAGAAAATATTTTTTTTTTATATAGGATACCAGTTGAGCTATGTTCCACCAGAAGTTCAATTGTTTTGTTAAATTAAAATATGTTGTATGTGGCTTTTATTTAAATTTGGGCTTGCCCCAGCATGTGACCTGAGCTGACAAGGATTTTTCATGGAGATAGTATGGTGGAAGTGGGGGATTTGGGCCAATAGGGGATAACATTGTTCACAGTTTGTCTATTGAGATTTGGATTTGAGTGTTGAGTGGGCTACTCCTAGTAATCTTCATTGATTATAGTAAATTTCTCTCTGCTTTTGCCTGTGGATGTAGTTTTGTAGGTTGTTGGTTTCTTCTTATTTTCTGCTGTGTGCCTGGTTACAGCAAAATATGTAGCCTTTCCCTCTCTCTTTTTCTTAAATGTTGACAAAAGATAGAAGTAAACAGTGCTTTGGGCATTACTTTTCAGATGATGAGTGATTCAACCAATGTACTCTCACCTGGAAGGACAATAAGTGAATCTGTTGTGGCAGATGCATTGTTGAGGCGTATTTCAGCTGCTAAAGGAAGGGTTATAACAACCCAGTTTGCATCAAATATACATCGTCTTGGAAGTGTTAAAGCTGCTGCTGATTTAACTGGTAGAAAGTTGGTATGTTCATTGTTCTCCCTAGCTCATATATTTCAATTGAGAAACAAGTGTTAGTGTTATAATTTGATGACTATTTTATCAGGTATTTGTCGGCATGTCTTTAAGGACATATTTAGATGCAGCTTGGAAGGATGGAAAGGCTCCAATTGATCCATCCACTCTGGTAATAAACATTGGGAGACTTTTCTCTGTCATTCTGCCTAATTTGTTGTTTTTGGTGGTTGGACTTGATTTCTCTACCATATGTTTTTCATAAAGTAATGTTAAGACGTAAGAGATTGGCAGGTGGAGGCTGGAGGGGTCTAGTGGTGATCAACTGGTATTGTATTATTGATTAGGTTGAAATTCAGTGCAAGTAGACAAATAGTCAGTTATGAATTTCTCTTTGTTTTTGAGAGGTTCCATAATTTTTTTTTTCAAACAGTGTTTTTTGTCATCTCTTGTTCCTAGTTGGCCCTCCTTCCTTACACTACTTCACCCGCAGCTAGTTTTTATATTCTCTGCAACGTATTTGTACCTTGCTTACCATCTTGAACTTTTGGGCCAAGTGGTTCTGTTACGCATTTCAATCTTAATATGTTTGTTAAAATTTCAAGATAATGTTTAGTTGTGAATTTAATAACACCAACATCAATATCACCTTAATACCAAATTAGTTGGGGTCTGACATTGATGAACCCAAACAAAAACACATACAATTGAGGGGAAAATAATAGATAAGGAAAAATTGAAATATATATATGTGTGTAGGTGTGTGTGTGCGTGCGCGTGTCCGTGTGTGTGAGCGCGCGCCGAATGCCAATTTATTTCCCATTTCATTAATTCTTGTTTTACTACTTTATCTTAAGTAAGTTTCAGCCGACCTCTTCCCTTATTTATATGAATGCCTTACGGTAACAAACTTCTTTTCTTACCAGAGCATCTAGGAGTTTTCAAAAAATGTGCCCAAACCATTTCAATTTATGTTATCTCATCTTTTCTTCCACCGCTACTACTCCAACTTTTCGTCGGACATCTTCGTTTGTATTTTGTCCATCTTTGTATGACCATACATCCACCTTAACTTCCTCTTTTTCGCTATTCCCTTTTATGCTCATGTTGCTTTGGTGCTGATCAACATTCAGCTCTATATAGCATTGCGGGTTTTAATTTGTCTATGATGTTGTGAGCCAATAATTATTTGTCTAACTAAGCAGGTGTATCTCATTTGTTTTCCATTTATTTAGATAGCTATTTGTTGGATTTGTTTTTTGTCTCCACCGTTGGTCACGATTTGTGTTTCTAAATTTTTATGGACCTGTATATACTTGTATTTGTAACTTGTAAGAGCTTTGTAAGCCTCATGTCTGTTGCCTGCTCTTAATTTTTTCTAATTTTACATAGGTGAAAGCAGAGGATATTGATGCTTATGCACCAAAGGATTTGCTAATTGTAACAACAGGTTCTCAAGTAAGTTACTTTCAAGATCCCTTAATGGCTGTCTAGTTCAATTGACTACAGACACGGGACAAGTTTATGGCATATGACCAAATATGTGCTATTGTGTCAGGCAGAACCACGTGCTGCCCTGAATATTGCATCTTATGGAAGTAATCATTCTTTCAAACTGACAAAGGAAGATGTTGTTTTGTATTCAGCTAAGGTATGATAAAATGCCTTTTGATTTATCTAAAGCATGTATAGTATCAAAATGAACCTTTTACTAATGAACTAACATCAGTGTATGAATTTACAATGTACTGTTCTGATTTTTCTGCATGACCTTTTGCTTGTTTTAATTTCTGAAAATTCTTCTACCAATAGGAAAAAATAATCTAAAATATTTTATTTGTAAATCAATTTGTATTGTAAATTTGACCTCTACTTTTTATATCACTGGTAGGTTATCCCTGGTAATGAGTCTCGTGTTATGGAAATGCTAAACCGCATATCAGAGATTGGATCAACAATAGTTATGGGGAAGAATGAATGTCTGCACACATCTGGCCATGGGTATCGTGGAGAATTGGTAAGTTTTTTTTATTGCATATCAATGATTTTTTTTTTTCCTTTTTGTTCTCTTTTTTCCCCATTTTCTTATCCTTGTCTGTTAAATATAAGCATGATATGCAACATCATCAAATCATTATTTTAGTACTTACATCTTAATTCACTTTGCTAAGTTTTCAATCTTTTCCGTCCTTTTTTCTTCCTAGTTATTAGATACTGAGATAACAAGATGTCACATGGATAATCAAGCCTTGTCAAACTAGTTACTTTGTCCTTATGCATTTTCAGTTTACTATACATGAGATTTGTCTTTTAATATGCATCCCTTTGCATGGTTTTTGTCTTTGATGTAACATGTTATTGAAGACAACATATATTTCTGCAGGAGGAAGTACTTAGAATTGTGAAGCCCCAACATTTTCTTCCCATACATGGAGAACTCTTGTTCTTGAAGGAGCATGAAATACTTGGAAAATCAACTGGCATTCGGCACACTGCTGTGAGTGATTGCCTCCTTATCAGATGTTCTTGTGTGATAGTTGAGAGACTACTGGAGTGGCCTCTATCAAGATTTAGATAAACATACAATATGACTTGTTACATATTATGTTGAAGGAACTGATGAGATTTATGCACCAGGTTATTAAGAATGGGGAGATGCTTGGTGTTTCACATTTGAGAAATAGAAGAGTCCTTTCTAATGGTTTCATTTCACTTGGGAAAGAGAACTTGCAGGTTGGTGGCCTTCAAAGTATTCCGGTGGCCTCTTTTTTAGAATTTTTCTGTAGTTCTGAGATTTCCCTCTCCCCCCTTTTTCATACAGTTGAAGTATAGTGATGGTGACAGAGCATTTGGAACATCAAGTGAACTCTTCATTGATGAAAGATTGAGAATTGCATTAGATGGCATCATTGTGGTTAGGTAGATCTTTCAAGTCTTCAATTAAGTCAAAGCCAAGTATAACATGTTTAGTGACATGCTAATATTCATCTTTTTTTACAGCATGGAAATATTTCGCCCTCAAAATTTAGACAGTCTGGTTGAAAACACCTTAAAAGGCAAGATAAGAATTACCACAAGATGCCTATGGCTTGACAAAGGGAAGCTGTTAGATGCACTCCATAAAGCTGCTCATGCTGCTCTTTCTAGCTGCCCTATAAAATGTCCACTAGCTCACATTGAAAGAATTGTGTCTGAGGTGTTAAGGAAAATGGTGAGGAAGTACAGTGGCAAACGGCCTGAAGTTATTGCCATTGCCACAGAAAATCCTGCAGCTGTTCTCACTGATGAGATAAACACAAGGTTATCTGGCAAATCCCATCTGGATGGGATATCAACATTGAGAAAAGTGGTGGATGGACACAGGCAATTGCAAATAAGAGGTAAAAACAATGTACACTTGAAGAATACATATAGAATTGTGGAGGTCTGGTGGTATGCTTTTGTTTGTCTATGCATTTTGTATAAAGGCGATGTTGATTGTATGTTTGCCTCAAGATGACTGTTACTTGCCTGACCAGGGGACCATATCCTACCAAGACTAAATTGTTCTTGCAGCTTACTGCCCTGTGTTGCCTAGGTTCTTGCATTTACCTAGTCTCTTGTGTGCAAAACTTGTGGAAGTTTTCATATGAAAATGGAGCTAATTATGGTTTTCACTCTAGCAGTTTCCTTGTCAAACCAATATAATGTTAAAAGACAATTTAGTTACCTAAATGACTTTTGATTTGTCTAAAGTCTGTGACATTTGGTTACTTTTGTTGTAAATTTTAATGATGATGAGTTAATGTGTATCAAATGCATTTGCTCATAATTTTGTTGGATTACTGTGTATAAGCTACTGGCAGTATGAATTTCTTGAATGCTGTTTGTTCTTAAATGGACAAGAGACTCTAAATTAATTTATAGTGAGATGTTTTTATTGCTTTTTTGCAAAATGATGTCGGAGTGCGACGGACTTCCATGGTCTATACTGCATCAGTATGTGCCTCCTTTTTCTTGTACTATATTCGGTACATACAAATTAGTTAATTTTAACTGATATAGTTTTTCTGCTGTAATTTCTTTTGAATCCTATATCATTTTTCTCACCCTTGTGTTATTAATTGGTGCAGATGATGGTATTGATGTTGAAGATCTACTACCTAAGGAAGACACTGCTACCTCCAGCAGAGCCGAGGGTGATTTGTCTGATACAGAGGATTCAGATGAATTTTGGAAATCATTTGCTGAATCCTCACCAATTGAGAAGTCAATCAAGGCTAACAATGGTTATGTTCCAAGAAAGGAGAAGTCCCAGCTGAAAGACGATGGTTCTGAAGTTGCTGAAGAATGCAATTCTGAAAAGACATCAAATTCTGAAGAGAAATCTTCAAAATCAGTGAAGAGAAAAAAATGGAAACATGAGGAAGTTAAGAGGCTGATTGGTATGCGCGGGGAACTGAATGACAAATTTCAAGTTGCGAAGGGAAGGATGGCCCTCTGGGAAGAAATATCTCAAAACTTGTTGGCTAATGGGATCAGCAGAAGTCCTGGGCAGTGTAAATCTCTGTGGACATCTTTGGTACAGAAATATGAGGTTTGTTTCTTCTTCTAAGTTACTTGATTTTAATAATTATAAAGAAAATGATACAATCACTAGAAACAATCATCCCTAGTTCTTGGATGGCTGCTTGTTAATGTTTAAGGATAGGAAAGGGAAAAAAATCCTCTATAAATTGTTTAACTTTTTATAATACTTATCCCTGTATATCCTATCCAGATAACCTATTCTGAAAAAAATAAAAATCAACCTAATGCTTCAGCTATCTGCTTTGCGAGAGAAAATGTAGTACTCCTGGCCCATAAAATTTGGGGTGTTCCTTCTCTCAAAACAGGGGGGGCAAAATCGGAAAAGAAAAAAATGGGATGGACAAAAATGGAAAAAAAATTTCACTCATGTGAGAGGGACCACCAAATAATTAAGTGGGCCTGGATCACTTAATTATTTTTCCTGCTTTGCATGTTAGTGAGGGCTACAACGGTGATTTAATTTATAATTTCTTTTTTATTCTGTTAGTAAATACCAAATTCATAAGTCTCTCTCAACATTTTTATCATTGCTAGCGACTTAGAGCCCGTTTGTTTGGGCTTCTCAAAAAAGTAACTTTTATCTCTTCCTTATTTTAGAAGTGCTTTTTATAAAAGTTAAAGCTATTTATATTTTTATAAAAATATTTAGTTTTTGAAAAAAATATTTAGCTTTTGACTTCTGCTTTTCTTGGAAGTTAAAATTTTTAGCTTCTGGAAAAAGTAAGTTTTTGACTTTTTTGTGACTTTTGCTGTTTTTAAAAGCAGACATTCAAACAAACTAAGAATGAAAAGTGTTTTTTTTCTTGAAAAAAAACAACTTTTGAAAAAAAAAAAGCTCATCCAAACGGGCCCTTAGTTCTGTCCACTTTCTCCTTTCGTTATCTCATAATGTAAACTGTAGAGAAAGCAAGGATTTTGTGAGAAACCTCAATTATTGTGAATGAAGTTACACATCACGTGTGAGTGCCTTAAATAGAAGGGTTTGTGTAATAGTACAATTGTATATTACAACTATTACAGCTATGTAATGCTATTAAATGTGATAGCTACTATTTCAAATTCAACAATTAACATCTTTACTTTTTCTTTTTTTAGCAGGAAGTCAAGAATGACAAGAATAGCAACAAAAGATGGCTATATCTTGAGGACATGGAAAAGATTCTGTCTGATAATGAGGCACCAGCAAAAAAATGATTGTCAATGTGGGGCAGGACAAGAAATTTTTTTAAGAGCTTTCTGCATTAAGATTGGTTCTATAAATCTGAGCATTATCGCTGGGAAGATAATCCACTTCATGGACTCGTGACATTGAAGATCCATAGTTTCGTGAGGAGATAGACTGCATTAAAGGGATTGGCTCTTTTACATTAAAAGAAGTTAACGAGAGTAGCGGGTTTAGGGTATGATTTATCCACCACCTCAAATGGCAGCACTTTGAGGGTCATTTTGATGGCATTAATTAACATGGAAAAACAATTTTGATGTTAATGAAGGACTAATATAATGTCAATGAGACCAAAATAAGTTTATTATTATGTATAATAATTAATTTCATTATTTTTGTTTGTGGCACGTGCTGGATGTCATAAAGAATCCATAAAATTTGCATTTTGGTCACACACAGAAGTGAAAAGGGAAAGTCTTGATGCTTCTACTTGCCATTGCCAGCTATTTTTAATCGATAATAACAATAAGTGAAAAGTTTTTTTTATTTTAAATGATATAATTTTGTATTATTTTAGATGAAATGATGCTTTTTGGTTATATTTAGTTATTTTTTATATTTTTTCTTTTTTATAAAATTAGGAAGAAAGAGAAAGTGGAAGAGAAAAGTTAAAAAATGATTAATTATAATATCGTTTCATTTAAAAAATGATTAAAGTTACGTTATTTAAAATAATAAATATTTTTCTCAACCAAAAAATATGTAAAAGAGGACAAATTGTGTTTAAGGATACACAAAATATTTATTGGGAATCTGTAAATACAAAATGATGTTATTTTGGGATTTAGAATTAAAAATAAAAGGTATTTTAAAATTTTAATTTTTTTGTATTATAAATTTTATTAAAATACTTTTTATTTTTAATCTTTAATTCTAAAATGATATCATTTTTAGCTTGCGGAAGATAATTTTAGTGCATGAGAAACGTTAATCCATTATTTATTATGGTAAAATAATTTAAAATTCGATTGAAATAATAAATTATAAAATTAATATTGTTTTTAAATATTTTACGTACCTAATATAACCAATTGTGCCCAAATTGATTATACGTAAATATTTTACGTAACAAGTTCTGGTGAGTTGCGCTCAAATTGAATCATTGATAAACAATTGTTCGCAAAATATTTAAAAATGATATTAATTTTATAATTTATTATTTAAATTATAATTTTTAAATTTTAAATTTTTTAGCCTATGCACATGGGTGTTAACGGGCCGAGCCGAGCTTTGGTTTTAAAAGACTAAGTCTGTGTTTAAACGTGTCAGATCAAGCATGTTACCTGTTATAAATATAACTATCGGCCTGTAGTCTGTCTGGCTTATTTACAAAAAATAAAAGTCTTGTTTAACCTGTTTAAAAAAATAAGACAACACAAATTTATCCAAACATACAATCAACAACATTAATAATTCCATAAATATTCATAAATTCAATTTATATCCAAACAACATAATATAGAACAAAATCAATCAAAAAGTCTGTTTAATCAATAAAATGGGGTGAAATGTATTGGGGAGAAAGAGAAAGTTATTACAAGTAGTATAAAAAATATAAAATATAAATAAAAAATAATATACTCATCCAACCTATGAGGTTTTAAGACCGAGCTTTTGAATTGGAGTTTGAGGCTTTTTTATTAAATGATCTTTTATACAAGTCTAAATCTGATGCCAACAACTAATTTTAGACATGTAAGCTCAGGCCTTAGCCGAGTGAAAGACTCTAAATGTTTAACACCCCTACCTATGCAGAATGCAGATTGTTCCACAATAAGACGAACGATTTGAACCCCACAATCTTCGGTCAACAATGATGTGTGTGAAGGATAACTTCTTATTTGTGGTACGAATGGAAAACTGAAATTTCATCTCTCAATAAAATCACATTTCATAAACTTTTGTTGTTTCGAGGCATGAATTCTGATTAAATGGTTGAAAAAAATTAATACTTATTTCTATACAAAATTAAAATTACAATTTAGACCATTTTCAAGAGAAAACAATATATTTCTAAAATCCGATCTTATTAAGCTTCATGAAATGCCTTGGCTTATCAAAGACCTTCGCAGTGACAATTACAATGCCAGCCAGGATACCACAAGCTTAAATTTTCTATTATGGTTAATATAGAGGGACAATATATTACCTTGACGAGCTCATAACACCCAGCTGCAGAGCAAGCCTTCTTCCAAGGAAAAACAATGGGCCATTGTGATTTGTTGACTGCTTCAGATTCCTTAAATTTCTCTTTGGTAATAATACATGGAAAAAAGATATAACTTTGTAACTCAGTGGCAAATCCTTTAAACTCCAATTCATTATATGTATTTGTAAAAGAGTCTTATTATTAGATAATAAAAAAGTAGGTAGAATAAATACAGTAAGTTGAGTCATATTTTTTAATTTTTTTTATGTGGATACATTGGTGAGAATTGAACACATAACCTAATATAACTTATCCAAAATCCTCACCACTAGATCAATCCTAATGATTTTAGTGATACACTGAGTCCTCCGTATAGTATGAATATTGAGAAAATTTTCCTCTGAAGGCTTCAGTTTCAAAATATAATTTGCCTGAGAAAACTAAATTTCAGTTTATGGGCTTAGCTAACCCGGCCCAAATTTATCCCTTTCCCCCTATTTCATTGACGGACTAAAATCACTAAAAAAAAACCCGAATTGACCCGTGTACACAACTTGATCCTAAAACCCTAAACTCTAACGCTATTTTAACCTCGCTCTCTCTGAGTTCTAGGGTTTTGCATTCAGTCGTGTCGATGGCGTTGTTCTTGCTCTGTGAATCTGCCTCTGGCTATGCCCTGTTCGAGGCTCATGGCGTCGACGAAATCGGTCAGAACACTCAAGAGGTTCGGAAATCCGTTTCGGATTTGAACAGGTTTGGGAAGGTCGTCAAGCTTCGCTCTTTCAATCCTTTTACCTCTGCTCTCGATGCTCTCAAACAGTGCAATGCCGTCTCCGAAGGTAACCAACCTGAACCTCTCAACTCAGTTTTCACTTTCTAGCTTTGCAACTATTGATGAGTGTGTGTTTGTTCGAGAAAAGCTTATATACTTCTTTGTAGCCATGTTGGTTTAATTGGTACGAAGTTTTCATATAATCTTTTTTGGGTGTTCAGGCATATTGACTGATGAACTGAGGACTGTTTTGGAGACTAACTTACCTAAAGTGAAGGATGGTAAGAAGTCTAAGTTCAGTTTAGGTGTATCAGATCCTAAGATTGGTTCGCAGATATCTGAAGTGTCTAAAATTCCTTGCCAAAGTAATGAGTTTGTGAATGAATTACTTCGTGGTGTGCGGTTCCATTTTGATAGGTTTGTCAATGATCTCAAGGTTAGCATTTACTCAGGCCTCTTTTTGTGTTTCTGCTTGCAGGTTTCCCATTCTGAGATGTATGTTTGTCATTGTTTATTTATTTTTCCTCACTTGAATTCCATAGTCAGGAGATTTGATTAAGGGACAACTTGGTCTGGCGCATAGTTATAGCAGAGCAAAGGTGAAATTTAATGTTAATCGAGTTGACAATATGGTCATTCAAGCAATCTTCCTTCTTGATACACTTGATAAGGATATCAATTCGTTCTCCATGAGAGTCAGGTACTATGTGTTCAACACTGAATACTCAATTAAATCTAGAAAATTTTCATATGTGATATAATTTATTTCCTTTAAGAAAATTGATAAACTTGAAGAATTCATTATTCCGCTGGTTCATCAATTTTGTGCAGAGAATGGTATTCATGGCATTTTCCTGAACTGGTGAAGATTGTAAATGATAATTATCTGTATGCCAAAGTTTCAAAATTTATTGAGGATAAATCAAAGTTGTCTGAAGACAATATTTCAGACTTAACTGAAGTTGTTGGAGATGAAGATAAAGCAAAAGAGATTGTGGAAGCTGCCAAGGCCTCCATGGGTAGAATTCTCATACTGTGTTGCATTTAACCTTTGTCTCATTCTCTTTCTAAATCTCCTTTCTCTTAATTTTTTTTTTCAGGTCAGGATTTGTCTCCAGTGGACTTGATTAATGTTCAGCAATTTGCACAGAGGGTAATGGACCTATCTGAGTACAGGAGGAAGCTGTATGATTACCTGGTTGCAAAAATGAATGATATTGCACCAAATTTGGCATCTTTAATTGGTGAAGTTGTTGGTGCTCGATTAATTTCCCATGCTGGTAGCCTCACAAATTTAGCTAAGTGCCCCTCTTCAACTCTTCAAATTCTTGGGGCAGAGAAAGCTTTGTTCAGGTTTTCAACTCCACCACTTGTTTTGAAGTTTTTATAAGTTTGACCTGCTTATTTGTTTATAGAAAAGTAACGAGCCTTCATGTGTAAAAGTGCAAGAATTTGTATGTGTTTTGTCTGGACAACAGCTAATTTTGGTCTACATTGTTGACAGTACTATTCCTGTGTACTCTCACTTCTAATTTATAATGTCTTTGCCTGCTCTATTCAGGGCCTTAAAAACAAAAGGAAACACTCCTAAATATGGGTTGATATTCCACTCTTCTTTTATTGGTCGAGCATCTGCCAGAAATAAGGGTCGAATGGCTCGCTATCTTGCAAACAAATGCTCCATTGCATCCCGGATTGACTGCTTTTCTGGTTTGTTTCTTAAATATTAATTTTAGAAATCTTTTATGGCCTTACTTAGTACCTTTGTCATGATTTTGTTGTACTGCAATGCAGAAAGCGGTACTTCTGCGTTTGGAGAGAAACTACGTGAGCAAGTTGAGGAGCGACTTGACTTTTATGACAAGGGAGTTGCCCCTCGTAAGAACATAGATGTCATGAAGTCTGTTATTGAAAATGCTGAAAACAAAGGTTGGGATGCAAGGAGACTTATGGTCCCCCTCTCTCATTTTCCCTCACTCATGAATAATATGCATTTGGTTGTGAACTTGTGATTATATATCTTTAGCACTTGTGACTACCGCCATATTATGGACTTCTCTTTTTTTTACTGAGGCTATATGGCGGAGAGTTAATTTTGTTTTAACTTATATATATATTGTAGTTCACTACATGTATTATAATGGGATTTTGCTGCTTTATACTAGTTGCTGCAGATACGGAGATGGAAGCTGAAGAAGTGCCTGTTGAAATTTCAGCCAAGAAAGCCAAGAAGAAGAAGCAAAAACCTGCTGCTGATGATGAAGTTGATGACATGGCCGTAGATAAGCCCACAGAAATTACAAATGGTGATGCAGTGGAGGATCATAAATCAGAAAAGAAGAAGAAAAAGAAAGAAAAAAGAAAATTGGACCAGGAGATGGATGATCAGGTTGTCGATGACAGTGCCAATGGGGTCGCAGTTAAAAAGAAGAATAAAGGGGATGATAATGGGGAAGTACTGGAGGCTGCTAATGAGACTAAGAAGAAGAAAAAGAAATCAAAAAGTAAGGATACCGAGTAAACTATGGATTGCAGTTTTAACGGTTGAAATCGAATTTGTCATATTATAGTTTTGGATAATTTTAAATTTTGTTTGCTTTGAACTTTTACCAGTTGCTGCACTGACTAAGAAGAAAAAGAAATCAAAAAGTAAGGATACCGAGTAAACTATGGATTGCAGTTTTAACTGTTGAAATCGAATCTGTCATATTATATTTTTGGATAATTTTAAATTTTGTTTGCTTTGAACTTTTACCAGTTGCCGCACATGTCTAGACTTTTGTTGACTGCATTTCATTTAGCATCCAATTTTTTACCTTGCAAGTTTGGGCATCATTTTAGGATTTGAAAAGTCTATCACACTATGTTTATTTGGCCGCCTTATTTTTGAAATTGTACCATAGAATTGGTCGTGACTCGTCTTGTAAAAGAAATTTCTTTGAAATTTTAGGAATCGGCTCTTATCTGATCTCATCAGTTCCTGCCGGAAATAATATTTCATTAAATTACTTATTTCCATGCTAGGTAGTCGTAACCGTCATTACAGTATCCTGGATTGGTCTATTTCTGTCGTGGACATTAATAAAACACTAGGTTTTACTTCGATTGACACACTTTTTCGGACATATGTATTCAATATTATAGTTGTATGGCTAACAAGCTACTCAACTCAACTTAGTTTGCACCTCCAATATGTATAAATCTTTTGTTTTGCATGTCAGCTCAAGTATTATCTTTCCACGCAATGAACCAAAAATATAAATCATATTTTTATTGACCGTTTCCTCAAGTTCCAGAGTGACAGCTCAAGTATTGTCTAGACTTTCGTATTTTAATAATTTGTCATATTTAACTAGTAATTATTCGATATAATGTTTTACTGTCATATCATAGAAAAATACTGTAATAATCATAGACATTCAAATAAAGTTTAATTAAAAATTATGAATTATTATTATAGTTTAAACTTTTATTGAAATCCTTTTTTCCCCTTATAACAATTTAATATTTTAATAATTATCATTGTTATATTTGTTGCCTTTAAATAAAGGAAAAATGTACTTTTATGTTATTGGAGAGTATTTTTTTCTATTAGATATATATTGATTTTTGTGTTTTTTTTTATGTGGATGGATCTCATATAATTATGTTTATAATATGAGTGTTTATAATGTGAGAGACAATCGTATAATAAAATTTTGTTTCTATTGCATGAGATTAATAAAACTCAAAAAGTACGTGCGTGTATTCAAAAAGAGTAAATATTTATTTTTTATTTTTTCATTCTCTTTCTTCCCTTTTCTCTTTTATATCAATGATCCACACTAAATTTTGTGAAGCATCCTGCCTAAACGTTTCAATTTGATAATCCCTTCGTTCCACCATACCTCGTTTTGAATAATCTCGATTGTAGATATAATTTTTTAACAAAGAAATGATGTTTATACATAACAAAAACTACTTTTATGTGTTTGAGAAATAAAAGTATATATTAGAATGTGACTTTTTTTTTTAATTAAAGCATAATGTAAAGTTAATATAAGAAAAATAAAGTATAAACACTATTACTTTTATTTATATAGCTGCTGCAAATTCCTTTCATATTTGAAAGGTAGTAGATTCGAGGATGATTTAGGAATAAATTAATCCTTTTACTATAAATAATATAAGATTACATCAGTTATTAATTATTTATATTACAAATTACGATTTCTTTTTTAGGAGTAAAAGGCAATAGTAAAAAGCGTTTGTTTTTTCTAAAGTTACTTTAGATAACTTTATCTAATGTTCATCGAAATGACGTCGTTTTGGGACAGAAATCATAATGTTTTTGTAATTTTAATTTATTTCAGCGTTATAATAGTCTTTATCATTCTAATTTTTTAATTTTTCAACATCAAAACGACGTCGTTTCGATGAACATTAGACAAAGTTGTCTAAAGTAACATCATAAACTTTTTCCTCTAGTAAAAATTGCTAACAAACCATAAAATGCACTGATCTGAGCTTTGTTTTTATAATTAATCTTAATGTAACCCTTTTTTTCTACTATAAATAAAGTGACAAATGGCAATTAACTATTTCACTCAAAAGCTAACAATGTATTTGGCCAATGGTCACCAAGAAAGCTTTAAACAAAAATATCTCCCAAAATGAATGCGGCGAATCATATATGGTTTTAAATTTAAAGAAGGAGGAGAAAAAAAAAAATCATTTTTCGTCCTTGAAAATCATACATATCATGCCAAAACTTCAAATGTCGACCCAGTACCTACAATAATTAAAACTTATCTCATTGTTTAAAATTATTATTTTTATATCTATCCGTTAATCAATAATCCATTAATTCGATTCAAGCACCGTGAATAAACCTTTTACCACTTAAACCAATGAAAGTTGGTTATATAATTATTTAAACATATGTTAAGAATGACAAAATTATTAGTTAAGATTGGAATCAATTCGGATTAGTTGTATATTATTAATTCATAAACATTATTATTAACAAATTTATGAAAATTATGGAACTTTTTAAGGGGAAGAAACAAATTTTTAAATAAAACTAAATCGAGGAAGTAAAATTAAATTTATTGGTAATTGTTCTGGGATTGTTACCCGAGACTTGGATCTCAATCAGGCCATGCCATATGGACGAGCTCGGACCTGAACTTGCTCCAAGCCTACTATCGTGGGCATTCCGGTCTTTGCCTTCAACAGCTTCTCTCTCACTCGATCTGCATCGAGAAACAGTTACCAAAATGTTTCCTTTTGATAAAAAAATTTATTCAAATGTCACGCGAACAATACTTTTTATCAAACTGTCACGCGGCGTAATTCGCTACGACTGGTAGTGAATTACGTTCGTCAATGATTTTGTGACACGTGGCACACTTTCGTAAAAAAAAGCTAACGTATCATAATTCGCTACCAGTGGTAGCGAATTTAGTCTGTAATATGACTTTCATAAAAAAAGGCTGACGTATCATAATTCGCTACCAGTGGTAGCGAATTTAGTCTGTAATATGACCACGTGTCACGAAATCATTGGAGAACATAATTCGCTACCAGTCGTAACGAATTACGCCACGTGACAGTCTGATAAAAAATACTGTTCGCGTGGTATTTGAATAAAAATTTTGCCCAAAGAAAGCACTTTGGTCACTCTTCCTTGCATCGACCTTGCACTATTTTATCTCACTCTTTTAAATAACCAATCACATTCTTTCGAGATATATATATATATATATATATATACGGGAAATGATCCGTTTATAATTTTTTTTTACAAATTATACTAAGTATGACGGATCATATACTCTTGATTAAAGTATGACCAGTCAGACATAACAAAAAATTTATAAATATAACCTTCTTATATATATATATATATATATATAAGGTAATATGATTCTTTGACACCGGTGTCAAATTTAAAGTTTGACACCTCATCTGAGAGATGTTAGATCAAAAAAGATCAATAATGTCACATGTTTATTGTTGACTTTTTTTATCTAACAACTATCAGAAGAGATGTAAAAGTTTAAATTTAAGCTTATTCATTCACATTCACGTTCACAAAGAAATTACACAACTTATTCATTCACATTCCCTCTCAGAATATCTAAGCTTATCACGTCTAGATTTTTCATTTTCTCACTATGCAAGTGTCCATGCACTCAATACCAGATATTTGGCTTAGGATTCTGATCATCCCTTAATCAAACACCTTCGTCACTGTTTTGAACATCGAAGTACTAGTCCCATCAATTAGGCTGGACATCCCTTGTTACGTACAAGAGAATAATTAAACTGATCTAAGTATGGATGGATGAGCATCTCGTCTTTGATTGTTGCAAATTAAGAGTCCGGTTGGATAATGATGGCTATGGTTGAGTTAAAAAGTAGTGTATAACACGGACTCACGGAGTCTCATTTCTTGGTTGGATAAGCTCAGGGAATAATAGTAGCTTACCAATTTTTGACTACATATATTATTCTCTTTTACTTTTTAAAATGAGAAATATATTTATCAGGTAAATTGTATGATGCAATAAATAAAAAGTAAATGAGATCTTTTTTTTTTTTTTTTAAAGAACCTATTTGAATCCTCCTTTATTTTAAGTTAGAATCTCTTCTTTTTTTTGGATTGCTCCACTGATTTTCGGGGCTTCGCTCCGACTATGTCCAGTCCGACCCGAGTAGGTTACCTAGCATTGACATGTGAGTCTCCCAACGAGGATTTTCTACATACACAAGGTCTCGAACTCGAGTCCTTGCTTAAGCGAACCCAAGTACCTTACCACTTGAGCCAACCCCCGTTGGTTTAAGTTAGAATCTCTATCTCTACGATATTTCATTTGAAAAAAAAGCACACAGTTTAAGAAAAGCTCATGAAAACCTAAAAAAAATTCCTCCTATAAGCATTTAGTTTTTGACTTTTTTCTTTATTATAATTTTTTTTCTTTTCAAAACCTGTTTGACTTAGCTTCTGCTTATAAGGAGAAAAGAAGTTAAAAATAAAAGGATCCAAATAGTCACTCTCTATTCTCCTTATTAAGTCGCCTACATTCTTTTGTGTTGTATATTATCTCCTGGAAGAAGCATATTCCTCTTTTAAAATATACTAAAGGGTTTAAAGTTTCTAAAGTTACTTTAGATAATTTTATCTAATATTCATCAAAATTTACACACAAAAATATGTGTGACCCATATTTTTTTCTCTCTTCTTTTCACATGGATCCACAAAAGTATAGAGTTTAAAGTTTCTAAAGCTACTTTAAATAACTTTATCTAATGTTCAACAAAATACACAGAAAAAAATTTATGGGGTCCACAAAGTATAAGATTTTAAGTTTCTAAAATTACTTTAAATAACTGTATCTAATATTCAATAAAATACACACAAAAAATTTAGGGAGTCAATATGAACTTATATAAAACAAAAAAAAAAAAATATAGGCCCATGCATTTTTCTTTATGTGTATTTTGATGAAAAATTTATTTACTTTTTTTTTTTTGAATAACAAAATTTATTTACTTTAAACACTAAAATAAAACACATACGTTATGTTTTGTACTATTTTGATACGTCTACCAAACTAGAATCGGAAATAATCACCTACCCCAGAACATATCCCACAGATAACACATTTTCAGTCAATTAATAATTTCTGCACCTAGTCACCTACCCCAAACGAAAAACAAAATAAAACGTTGAAATGAAAATTAATAAATCATTTTAATCAAATAAAAATAAAAACGCTCACCTAACACTTGTACCAAACCCAAGGGCAAGAAAGTAAAGTGAATGAAGGGAACCCGGGAAGACGGCAACTTGAGTTTGAAGCGTTGGAAAGTCCGAAGCCTAACGTTGGAGCAAAGTATAAAATACAATACGACATTGCCGTCTACGAATTCTTCAGTCTCAAACGCATTTCCAACGCCATTAACCGCTACAACGACAGCATCAACCGCTAGGAATGGCGAACAACAGTAACCTTGAAGATGTTCCCTCTGTGGATCTCATGTCCGAGCTACTTCGTCGCTTGAAGTGCTCCTCCAAACCTGACAAGCGTCTCATTCTTATTGGTATCTATGTTTCTATTTTTTTCATCAAGTTTTCATTTTTATATTGCCTGCTACTTCAGATCCGAAAATTCGAAGAACAATCTACTGAAAAATTTGTTGCTTTTGTACTAAAAAAAAAAAAACCTGTTGCTTTGGAATGTTGATGCGATTTTTAGGGTTTCTCTGTGACTCCACTAGATTCCCAGTTGTCGATGCTTCTTTTTATGTTTAAAAAAATATTTTTCATGTTTTTGGTATGGTAGGGAAAACACTGAGAAATTTTAGTAGTTTTAGTTCTACAATTGAGGATGGGAATACTCTGGCACGATAAGCTAAGCTGTTTAGTTGCTTGGAAAGAAAATTTAGTAGAACCTGCTTTCTTGGTTTATGAATTTTTGTTATGCTTTTCAGGTGTGCTTTTTTTTGTTTTTATTATTATTTTATTTTATTTTTCAGTCTTTGATGGACGAATATGATTTTCGTATTAGTGATTTAGGAGCATGTGGTTGTTGATCTTATGCTTTAAGGGGCCATTTGGTAGAGGGATACATTTTAGATTCCCAGGAAACTCACATTGGGAATACTAGTTACCCATGTTTGGTACAAGAATTTTTTCTTAGGAAAATAGATTCCTGGGAATTAAAATTGTGAATAAGAATCACATGTTTGGGAAAATTTTACATAATTTTTAGGACATAAATAACCCCGCTTTAATATTTTTTTTGACTAAAATATCCTGCTTTACATAATTTATAGGACATAAATCATCAACATTCCTGAGAATATTTTGGTGTACCAAACAGTTTTTTGTTCCTGGAAATTCACTTTTCCATCATTTTCCTAGTAATCATGATTCCCCTGAACAAAAAAATTTCTTCTCTACCAAACACCTCCGGAGTTACTGCCTAGCTTAGAGTGTTTTGAACCCCACCAGGTGTCTCATCAAGTAGTTATTTATGTTTCTTCTGAACTGATTAATACTTGTCATTTGAATATAATTCTCTATATTGGTGAATCTACTCGCATCCATCTCTTAGAGGTTTTTCTCCCTCTGTTTACAACAGTGCATGACATTCTTATTTCTTTTAGTAATTGTTGTGGTAGAGATAGCACAATATGTTATATTGTATGGGTTCATTTTTTTGGCCTGAGTTCTTTATCACTTTTTATTGGTCAATGGTTATCATTCATCTGTAACTATTTACATTGTAGGCTTGATATTTTTGGTTAAAACAACAAACCTGACTTGAGCTGTCTAGCTCTACTTTTAGACAATGAAGACTTGTATATCAGTCATGAAGGATTTCTTATTGTTTGATTGGATTATAAAGTAGTTTTAAATTGTTTCCCACTTCCTATAGCAATTCTGGTTATTTTCATATGCATGCTAATTTTCGTTTGTAGATTTGTCTGTGTACTACTGGTGGAAACATGCTTGCCATGATGAAATTATTTCATATGTCTGTGGTGGTTCTGCTCATATTTGGTTTCAAATTTCAATCTTATGCTGTTGATAATGTGTCTCTGACTTTATATTTGCTTGATTGCTCAACAAGTTATTGTAGTTTCCAGGTAGAGTTATTCTCTGTATTTGGCTTGGTTAGCTCACTTAATATTCATGCTTTAAGAATTTACTAGTTTATATTTTGAAATAGATTCAGAAATCCAAGTGGACTATAAACTTGAAAAAATGTTAATGCAGGCCCACCTGGATCTGGAAAAGGCACCCAGTCGCCAATCATAAAGGATGAGTACTGCTTATGCCACTTAGCTACTGGTGATATGTTACGAGCCGCTGTAGCAGCTAAAACCCCTCTTGGTATTAAGGCTAAAGAAGCGATGGATAAGGTAAGTTCTTTTTTGTATACAATCTTCACCGAGGATTTACTGTTTTATTCTTTGTGTACTTTCTTATGAGATTGCTAATATGACATTGTTATGATTTTTTCAGGGAGAACTTGTCTCTGATGACTTAGTTGTTGGTATTATAGATGAAGCAATGAAGAAACCATCATGTCAGAAAGGTTTCATTCTTGATGGTTTCCCAAGAACTGTGGTCCAAGCACAGAAGGTATTACAATGTTTGACATCTGAGCTACTCAGTGAGTTTCTTTTGTTTGAAATATCAGGATTATGTGTATAAAAACAGAATTACTAGATTATCTGCACTGTTTTACCTGCTGTTCGTCTACATACTTTGAACCTGGATTTTTTTTCTTTGCAGCTTGATGAAATGCTGGATAAACAGGGAGTTAAAGTTGATAAAGTGCTCAATTTTGCAATTGATGATGCAATCCTTGAGGAGCGGATTACTGGTCGCTGGATACACCCATCCAGTGGCAGAACCTACCATACAAAATTTGCTCCTCCTAAGGTTCCCGGGGTTGATGATGTAAGCCTGCATCTTTATTTAAACCCTGCAAAAAGTTATTTTCCAAAGCATGTGTTAGAGTATAATATAAACTATTAAAGAGACCCTCATTTAATAGTTTAAGCTTTTAGTTGAATTGGTTTTTTACATGGTATCAGAGCCTAGGTGTTCCGGGTTCAATCCTTGCCGCTCTCCACTTTCTTTGTGGAATTTCTTAGCACAGGTAGGCTGGGCCTAATGATCCACCTTTCAAGCCCAATAGGCTCTCTTGTGAGGGGGCATGTTAGAGTATAATATAGACCATTGAAGAGACCCTCACCTAAGAACTTAAGCTTTTAGGTTGAATTGGTTATTTATAGCATGATTTCTGCTCATAGTAAACTTAAGCATTTATGAGAGTTCTGTATAAGTTTAAGGGCTTGCAATTTCTCATGTTGCATGAGAAATGCAAGTTTTCCTACAGAGAGAGAAAGGGGTAGGGCTCACCTTAAAGAAAAAAATAAAAAATAGAAAAGTGATTGACACAGATATCAAAGTGAGAGCGGTAGGAGAGGAGACTTCTCATGCAACATGAGAAGTCTTTTTCCCTAAGTTTAAAAATATCATTCTGAATTGAATATCAATGCTGAATATAATGAGGTGCCACACTTTATTGTTAGAACCTTTTATTGGGAACTGAATTTGGTTTTGATTTTGAGGGCATTGCTGGTTTTAGTTGCTGGCCATCCTGATAGTCTCTCCCAAAGAGAGTGTCTGCGTTTTTTTGTTTTTTTTGTGGAGTGGACAAAAACTTTAGGGGAAGTGGAGGTGTTTTCAAGGTCAGGGCATGCATCTAGGCTAACTGTTTTAATTTAAGGAAGCACTGGCCGCGTTACCTCTTTCATTGTAAATTTGTTTTCCTCAGGTTACTGGTGAATCTCTTATCCAGCGCAAGGATGACACTGCAGCTGTTCTGAAGTCAAGACTAGAAGCATTTCACAAGCAAACTGAACCGGTATGATTCTGAATCCTATTATAACTTTGGATGTGAAGTAGATGTCAGCAAGTATTCTTTTTGTCTACATCCTTGATAAAGTGATGTATTATTTTATGGTCATGCTTCTTTGAAAGTTGGTGTAAATTCTCTCCTCTCACGCCATTTAGCCAATTTCTAGCCTCATTTCAATTTTAGATGTAATATATATATCAATTATATGAGGAGTACCTTCCTCATTTATCTGCTTTTTTGTAACTTTCTTGCATGGTCTTAAATGAAAATTTGTGCATTGGACATGCAGGTTATTGATTACTATTCACATAAGGGCATTGTTGCTAATCTTCATGCTGAGAAACCTCCCAAAGAGGTGACAGTTGAAGTCGAGAAAGTGCTGTCTTAATAGAGTTCCCCCTTGGATTTTCGGGCTTGAACTGCAATTCTTTTTAAAGGAAAACTTAATTTACCAATTTGTATTTTAATACTTTTCTGAAATCCGCTTACCTTTCAGCTTTCCTGCAAATTCCGGCTGTTACCAAACTCAGATTTGAAGAGTTACTTTGATGAAATAAATAGTCAATTGAATTTGAATTTTGTTGGATGTTACTTTTGCATGAATTGTCTCTTTTGACCTTTGCAGGTGTTTCTGTATCCTTGAATGATATTGGTTTCATTAAAACTGGTTGGCAGAACTTTAGCTACTTGGTTCATAAATGGACGAACATAATTAAAAATCTGTTTCGTTATATTTTATGTTAGATTTTAGGGGAAATATTTGTTCTTTTAAATGACTTATTTTAATTAAAATTATTATTTTTTATTTAATAAAAAAATCTTTTATTTTTTTCCATCATGATTTTTATTATGTAATTAATTCTTAGTATAAAATATAGTAATTTTGACTAAAATCTATATTTTTTAAAAAGACAAATATTAATTCTATAGATTTTTCACTTCTACATCATTTTTCCAAATAAACCTAGCACACTTATGTTCTTGGCAGATCTAAACTATTGAGGTCCTTGTGATTGGGCAGAAGGCAACCTTTTTTATTAGAGTAAACATCATTTTTAGTCTCTGGCAATATCTACGAAGTCCTTTTTAGTCCCTAGAAAAAAGGACCAAATTGGTTCCTGAAAGTATAAGAAAAGGGTCACTCTACATATTTGGGAGTTGACATAAGGACTAACATGACCCTTTTTTTATAATTTCAGGGACCAATTTGGTCCTTTTTTATTGCGAGGGACTAAAAAGGACTTCGTAGATTTTGACAGGAACTAAAAAGGGTGTTTACTCTTTTTATTATTATTATTATCCATTGACTGAAATAAAAATAGTTCCACAAAGGCAAATCCTATTCTTTAATATAATATTATTATGGGCTCATCCACTTGAAAATTAAAACTAAGTAGAAAGTATTGCCTTTGATTTCATTTCATAAAAAAATCATACTATATGTTAAGAATGAAATCACGTTTCTCAGATGTCATTAGATGAGTATTATGATTCCCTCTCCGGTTTATTAATATCAAATCGTTAGTTCCAGCTATTTCTTAGTAAACTTGGGCCATTTCATGCTTATGCTTAGTAAACTTTACCTGATTTTCATGGTACACCGATTACGGACGAACGGTTTTAATGAAAGTTTTGGAGACTACTAGAATAATAATTATTTATGTAAACTACTATTACAAAATAAACACTCGTTTTGATTTTCCAAAAAAGATATTAATTTCTTCTAATCATAAAAAAGTGACTAAAATCAACTATTTATTAAGGACGATGAGACCATTAATTAAACCATGGAGAAACCAAATTAATGATATTTATTACAATTAAAAAAGTAAACTGTTCTATATATGATCTATATATTCTTTAAATACTAAATTAATATATGTATCACTAAGAGTAAAATAAGCGTTTATACTAAATTGAGCCCAAAACAATTTAATTTTAGAACAAAAATCAAGATATTTTTATAATTATAATTTATTTTGAAATTATAATAACTTTTTATCATTATAATTTTTTAATCTTTCAACCCAAAGTTTTGGAGAGAATATAGATAATTTAACCCTCAATGTAGAAACATTAAATCCTTAAACAATTGAATTTGATATAAAATTTGAGAAACTCTTAATTTTGTGAGTATTTCAAATTACAAAACAGGTTCATACCATTAAATATAATAATTTAATATATTGTTAGAGAAATTATTTTAATTGAGTATAATTGAAATTATTAAATATATATGATGCTAAACTTTATTATTTTTATATATTTTTTTTGGTAACAATCCATCTTGTGACGATAAAAAGTAGTTATACGGAGTTTTGTTAATTTGGAAAAGAAACAAGAAGTTAGAAAACCACACTTATCAAGATTATTTTAGTGCTTGACGTAAAAGAGCCTCGCAGCCAAAAATTGTCCGCTGCATCTACGGTCCAGCCAAAAGATATGTAAAATAATAATTTAGACCATGTTTTTTACTTACATCACATTTGAAACGATTCATAATAAAAAAATCACTATAAAGCTTTAGCAAAAAAAAAAACTAATCCAAAATTATCAAACCATACATTCATTTGATCTTTTAATATTTTAGTTGCTTCTTTTCAATAACTCTATTAAAATTAGGAGAATGTTAACAACACATTGTTGTATGCTCTATTTTCAGTACACACTTTATTGTACAGTTAAATCCTATTAAGTATCAAACGACAACTTCATTCTGTGGTGATCTCAATCAAAATTATTCTAACGATCAATGTTACTAATATTTCTGTTTTAAAATAAAGTCCAAAAGGTCAGACCGGGAAAATACTATAAAAGACATAATTTTCTAAGTTTATATTCTGAATAGTTTCAAATTTAAACAAAAAGCAAATACATTCATACTTATTCATTTTTAATTTTACTACCTTTTAAACCTTTCATACACTATGGTTAGTTTCAAGTAACCGAAAGATGGTTGAACCTTTAAAAGACGATATTATTTTTCCTGAAAGTTTATATTCTAATAATTTCAAATTAAATAAAAAATAAACACATACATACTTATTTAAAAAATTTACTTCCCTTTAAATCTTGGGACTATGGTTAGTTGAAAGTAAAAGAAAGATGATTGCACCTTGAGCTGAAATACAGGAGAAAAATGACAAAAAAAAAAAATCACATTCTTTTTAAAGAGGGAAAACATTGACGGAAAATGAAAAATTCAGACGCCACCTTACTTTGTTGAAGCATCTCTGACTACTTGCTTCTCACAGCCGACAAAAAATAGACTCTCCAGAATTTGCATTCAAATTAGCTGCAGTGTAAACTGTCTATTTAGGAGCACGATGCATATATGCATGTCCTATTCAGACGAACAAAGAGAAATTCCATCGGGTCAGTTTTTATATTCACCAGCATGAACAAGATCACTGTATAATTAAACAAAGCAAAATACTATCACGACAAGATTTTCACTGCAAAAATATCGACCAACTCAAGTGAGAACTTAGTCAAATTTACAGACAACATGCCTTGCAGTGGTAGCCGATCATGACTTCCGCATCCTTATAGATAACGCCATACTTTCAACCCTCCAGTACTAAACCCTCTCTTCTCACCTCACTGAATTCTGCAAACTTCTTAATGTGCGATCCATTTCGGAGCACGCAGTCCATAGCCTAAACTAACATTCCCCCGTCTTGTGAATTAAACAACCATATGATCTAAGGTCATGGGGAACGAAGCATGCAGAAAATGGAAATCTAGGCATTTTTTTTTCTTCCAAATCTTGCACAGAATATGGTATTATTTCAGGGACCAACTTACAAATTTAGAAATTCACATGATTACCTGTTGACCAAGTTGGAAATGAAAATTCCCTGCTATTGATTTATTTCTCTATATATGCAACGAATATCAAAGCTTGGCGAATTGCTGCACCCAAAGCTTTTAGGAGCATTTCCTGGTGTAAAAATTAAGTGCAGAAAAACTAGGAATAACAAAACTCAATACCCCCAACTAGACGGCATGGCCAAAAGGAAAATTGAAAATAGATTGCACAATATAAGAACATACCATAGCACAAATTCATCTTTTATTACTGAACATCCTGAAATATATATACATCTTTTTCCCTGGCAGAGAGGATCAACGGAATTTCAGTGAAGAAAAAAATATCAGGTACACTGCCATACCTTCTCAGGCCACTATACACATTAGTCTGCCGCTTCTAATTAGCAAGAAGCAAGAGCCTCATGAAGTCCATTTCCTGGTCCTTTGCAATCACATCACTTTTTGTATATGATCACTAATTTGGTAAGACAAAGTTGGAAACATTAACAATAAAAATAGCACTGTTCTTGGTATTTCATGCATCCAGTAAAAGTACTTATCCAATCATCGCCAAGAAGGAAAAATATGCTTGAAATCGGATTTGGGAAGTGGGGCTTCCTGGAACCAATCATGAAGAAGAGCAGCTTCTGCAGTTATCCTCTGTAAGAAAAAAAACATTTTCTATTAAGCTGCGCTATCCAGTTTCAACTCACAAAATACAGAAGCTGCTTATGGTTACCATGAATAAAATATACCTTTTCAGGGTCGTAGTTTAGAAGCTGCTTCAACAAGTCAAATCCCAGCTCGGATAAAACATGTGAACCAGTGAAAGATGCAGCTGGAAACTTCTTCCTTAACATATTATATCTGAAATATCAAAAATTTCTAGTGAAAAAGTTGACAAAGAATAACAGTATTATCCCGCATTATACAATGTTCTTATTAAAAAAGAAAAGAGAGAAGGCAGGCTTACGGTTGCTTAACAAAATTTACTTTAGACCGAGGTAATTTGGATAATCCTGGCCAAATTTTCTCATTTGGTGTACCCAGGGTTCGAAAAATCTGTAGACAGTTGACAAACAAAAAAAGTGTTACAAAGATAGCACAGTAGTCACAAGATAATGTAGAAAAAAGAAGTAATATCCAAATGACTTCAATAATAATAACCTTGTCAAGTTGTTCAAGTTCTGTTTTACCCCTGAACAGAGGCTCTTTTGCAACTAATTCAGCCATTATGCAACCCACCGACCACATGTCAATTGCTGTTGAGTATTCTTTAGCGCCTAATAATAGTTCAGGGGCTCTGCATATAGAACCAACAAACTATTCAGAAGTTCGTCATATATACCATTCATCTACTACTACAACTAAAAACTCACAAACAGATACATTGACAGAGATAACTTGAATAAAAACTAAACATATATAATATTATAATGCTACTCACCTGTACCATAGTGTAACCACAACTGGAGTGTATGGCTTCGGACTGCTTCCATACTGCCTTGACAACCCAAAGTCGCATATTTTGAGCTCCCCATCTTTGTTCAGGAGAATGTTTGATGTCTTCAAGTCCCTATGGAGAACCCAATTGTCATGGAGATACTTGACACCTTGAAGAAGTTGCATCATCAAGGATTTTATTTCACCAATACTAAAGGGTTGCTTCTTCACCTCCATCAGCCCCTTAAGGTCATACTCCATGTACTCCATTACCATAAACGTACCATCAAAATCATCAACAACTACTTCTTTAACATCCACAATGGAGGGATGATTGGAAGACAAGAGAATGTTCATTTCCCTCAAGGCCGACAACGGAAATCCATCCCTCTCTAAGTTCATCTTCACCTTCTTCAATGCTACTATTTCTCCAGTCTTCTTATCCTTAGCTTTATAGACAACACCATAAGTTCCTTCATTTATTTTCTTAATCATTTCAAATTCACACACACTTCTGGAACTCTGAAGCATGTTTGTATTTCTCTGCATATGTATTAAACCACCATTTGCATCAGAATCTGATGGAGAATCACTAACATTACTTTGTACCTCAACTTCGTCCATAGAGTCAATAAGGAACTCCTTTTTAGAATAAGAATCATCAATGGAACGGCCCAGATAATGCTTTGTTCCACTGCTTCCTGATGACGTAGTGATTGTGCTGTCTGAATCTCTTCTGAATTCACCAGTTTCAGGACTTTGGCTCCCTTTGCCGTGCTTGTATTCATCATTAGCATCCCTTGGTGAAAGATCATCATAAAACCATTTTGACATCTTGATGTTCCTTCCTTGCACATCATTTTCTTCATCCACATCTTGGTTATGTTTCTGCGAATGTTCTTGAGGCAACACATAAGAGGAATTTGATGAAGTCAACCGCAAAACACCTTTGGCTCCAGGACTGCTCGATAGAGATGGAAGAGAAGGAGACACAGCAGTAACCTGTTTGACCCTACCTTTTGAAGGTATTTTTCCTTCCTTCTCTGCCAGGTCCCACACAATCGGAGAAATTTTTCTTCTCTTCTCTGGCGGTGGTAAAGCTTCGTCCACATCACCCGCCAGAAACCCTGAGGCACGTGCATATTCCCCACGTTCAACACAGAGCTCACCTTGCTCTCTCCCCTCTTTTCCACCACGAAACCCATTCCGTCCAGAACGGGTGACGTGATTGTTGCAGGATCCATCAAATTCCTTGATGGAAGAACCATTCTTAGAGTGATCAAATTTGTAACATTCTTTCCTTAGCAAAACACTTTTTTGCCCTGCCGCCATTAGATTGACAAGCACAAGTCCTCTAAATCAGTAATCAACTATCGAAGAAAAGATGCTTTCAGACCAAAAGCCCCAAATTTGGAAACCCCAACCCCAAAAAATAGAACGAGGATTCGATTCGCTTTTCTAGAATTCACACAACCCTAATCAAGATCCGTAATCACAAAACTCAAAAGATCAATTATAATTTCGTTTATCCTTTCTTTAATTCTTCCACGATACAATCAACAGCGAGTGGTATCAATCAGGGAAAAAAGACAAAGGAGAGAAGACAATAATAGGAATCAAGCAGAAAAAAAAAATAGGAAAAAGGAGAATCAACGAGATGAAGAATAAAACCCTAGACGATGGCAGCGTCTCGATATCTTTCAGAGGTATCGAATGGCCTTACCAGCAAGAAAAAGCGTAGGAGAACGAAAGGTTGAGACGAGAGAAGCCGCCTTGGGAGTCTTCGTAAGCGCGTTTTCTGTGGTTGATTCAATTAGGGTTAGCCACTTTAAATAAAGTGCGCTTCAAGGTCGGTTGGATTTTACATGTAATAATGATGTAATAATGAGGAAGGATATTGTGACAACGAAGTTGAGTTACTATCACAAGTGACTATCAATTAATCTTACTATTAGATCGATTATATTGATCCAACGGTTATATTTATTTCCATCTTTGAATGGTCATGGTTCCCTAAATTTAATACTTTATATTTATTTTCATTTTTGTATAATTATGATTTCTCATATTTAATGCTTTCACTTTAAATATGGGGAATCATGATCATACAAAGATGGAAATAAATATAACCGTTGGATCAACATAATCGATTTAACGGTGAAATTGATTGGTAGTCACTTGATAGTAACACAACTTGATTGTCACAATATTCTTCTGTGTAATAATAGCCAAATCAAAATCACTGTACGATTCGTAATTTTAGGCCCTTTTTGTTGTTTCCAACCACACCGGCCCATCAATTAAACTAATTCGTCATTATTATTATTTTATCGTGGTTTTTTTTTACATTTGGATAAAGTTTTATATATTAAACACGGGAAAAAATATCTATATTTTTAAAAGATATAAATTTATATTTTTTTTTTATAATAAAATTTATATCCTTTTAAAGGATATAAATTTTCCTTTTAGATCTTAACCATTGATTTCCGTCTATCAACGGTTATAATCTATTGGGCCAAACTTAATGGGTCAAACTTAATGGGCCAAATTTATTATTAATTAATTAATAATTTTAATCCAATAAATTATAATCGTTGATGGATGGAAATCAACGATTAGAATCTAAAAGGATATAAGTTTATATTCTTTAAAAGGATAGATGTTATTCCCTTAGACATAACAAAATAAATAACTTATTTGATTGTGTTCTAATTTTTTTGTTCCTTGTTATGGACTAAATTCATATCTTAATCATATCTCTAATCAAAGATCAGGCTATATCTAAATAATATCTTAAGGGGGCGTTTGGTTGAGGAGAAATTTTTTGAATACTAGGAAAATGTAATTACTAGGGAAAAGGTTCGAAAGTGAGTTTGGTAGAAAAATATAAAAAAAGTTGTTTAGTTGGAAAAAAAATTACCGAAAAAATTTGGTAAATATTATAAAGTCTATGTTTGATTTTGAGTTAAAATATTGATGGGAAAATGAGTTGCAATTACCAAAATACCCCTTATTTTTAAATATTTTGAATCACACATGATACCATTTTTTACCTTTAAATAGTTTGGTATGATAGTAATTTCCATTCTTATTTTTGGTGCTATTTACCTAGGGAACTCAAAATACAACATCACAAATGGGAATATCTTGCCTTCATTATTGGGGAGTTTGACATGCAAATCAATTTCTTGGGGTAATAGTTTAGGTAGGCAAATGATGAAAGTGGGACAACCAAACATGGTCAAGCTACATCTCCAATTGGCTTTTACCCATCTATCTTATGAGATATCCTCAACTAGGGGTGACAATTCGTGTCAACCCAACCCGACACGACACGACCCGACCCGAATTTTACACGACACGGAAAACCTCAACCCGAACACAACCCGATTAATTATTCGTGTCAAAATTCTCAACCCGAACACGACCCGCTTATTTTACGAGTTGACACGACACGACACGAATAACCTTATAATGTAACCATGACCCATTATTACACATATTAACACGGCTCGACCCGACCTAATCTGACACGAGTTTTAGAATGCTCACATTCAAAACCTGTATTTAGGCACTGATTTTACATCCAATAAAAGCATATACATTCAATAAAGCCACTGCTGAGTGAAAAGGGTTGTTTGAAACCCTAAGTTTATGTTGTTATTTTTATACCACTCACTAAAATGACTATAATAACCTTATACAAAAATTATTTGCGAGTCAGAGTGGGTTAACGGGTTGACCCGAACCCGACACGAATTTTTTCGTGTCATTTTTCTTCAACCCGAACGCGACCCGAACAGTAAACGGGTTGACCCAAACACGAAAATTTCGTGTCGGGTCCGGGTCGGGTTAGCGGGTCGTGTCAGAAATTGCCACCCCTATCCTCAACCAAACACAACCTAAGAGTATCTCAACAGCACAATCTAGAGGGAATCAAAGGATCTCATCCCTTGATTCCATCAATCAATGCAGATTTCATATCAAGAGGAGATCTCATCAGCTCCTCAAGAGGTAACTCCAATAAATAAAAAGACTAAAGACCTCATGCATAATTTACAAAAAAAAAAAAAAGACCTCATGTATATACTTTTGAACTTATTTACTGTCAACAATATGCATACACTCACATAACCTATTTAATGTCAACATTATGCATACACCCACATCTTTGCTTAATGTCCATTGATAGTGCGCATAGTGATTGGAGTATTGACTATAAGTCATTTCACCAAAACCATTTTTTGTCTTCATCTAACTATTTCCAATTTGTTTTGGCCTCATCTTCTTTAAGAACGCTTTTATCCGTATCCGTAAAAATTGGGTGTTCACTTAGATTGGTATTTTCAATAGGACTTAGGTACTTACAGTGGCGGAGCCGGGCTCTAATTTGAGCTCGAGCTAAAAAAATTATATATGTATTTGAATTGTCTTCTTTAAAAAATGTGAAGTTTTTGAATTAAACTGAATAAAGATTTAAAAAACAAAGATAACGACAAAAGAGTGATTCAGTAGTTATAAATGAGATTTTCATGTAATAAAACAGTCATTTGTTTTAATAACAATGAATATCCCATTTTTTTTTTCAAAAAACGTAAAGATTTGAATTAAACTCAATAAAGGTTAAAAAAAAAACTTTTAGATTAAATGATAACCATCAATTATTTAAAAAACAAAGATGACGACAAAAGAGTGATTCAGTAGTTATAAATGAGATTTTCATGGAATAAAACAGAAGTTTTTTCTAATAACAAAACACTCCTACCTGATTCCACTGAATCAAGAGGTTAATAAAAGATTCAAATTTAAAAATCTGAAAATAAGGAACAAAGGTCGGGATATGTATAATTATTATTATTTTTACAAATTAATTTTTTTCGAGTAAATAGAATTGTATTCTTTAAAAAATGTGAAGTTTTTGAATTAAACTGAATAAAGATTTAAAAAACAAAGATAACGACAAAGAGTGATTTAGTAGTTATAAATCAATGAATATCCCATTTTTTTAACAGTCATTTCATGGAATAAAACAGTCATTTGTTTTAATAACAATGAATATCCTATTTTTTTTTCAAAAAACGTAAAGATTTGAATTAAACTGAATAAAGGTTAAAAAAAAGATTAGATTACATGATCAACATCAATTATTTAAAAAACAAAGATGACGACAAAAGAGTGATTCAGTAGTTATAAATGAGATTTTCATGGAATATAATAGAAGTTTTTTCTAATAACAAAACACTCATACTTGATTCCACTGAATCAAGAGGTTAATAAAAGATTCAAATTTAAAAATCTGAAAATAAGGAACAAAAGTCGGGATATGTATAATTTATTTTTTTTACTAATTAATTTTTTTTCGAGTAAATAGAATTGTATTCTTTAAAAAATGTGAAGTTTTTGAATTAAACTGAATAAAGATTTAAAAAACAAAGATAACGACAAAGAGTGATTTAGTAGTTATAAATCAATAAATATCCCATTTTTTTAACAGTCATTTCATGGAATAAAACAGTCATTTGTTTTAATAACAATGAATATCCTGTTTCTTTTTTCAAAAAATGTAAAGATTTGAATTAAACTGAATGAAGGTTAAAAAAAAACGATTAGATTACATGATCAACATCAATTATTTAAAAAACAAAGATGACGAAAAAAGAGTGATTCAGTAGTTATGAATGAGATTTTCATGGAATAAAACAGTCATTTGTTTTAATAACAATGAATATCCCATTTTTTTTTTCAAAAACGTAAAGATTTGAATTAAACTGAATAAAGGTTAAAAAAACGATTAGATTACATGATCAACATCAATTATTTAAAAAACAAAGATGACGACAAAAGAGTGATTTAGTAGTTATAAATGAGATTTTCATGGAATAAAACACAATTTTTTTCTAATAACAAAACACTCATACCTGATTCCACTGAATCAAGAGGTTAATAAAAGATTCAAATTTAAAAATCTGAAAATAAGGAACAAAGGTCGGGATATGTATAGTTATTTTTTTTTTTTTACAAATTATTTTTTTTCGAGTAAATAGAATTGTATTCTTTAAGAAATGTGAAGTTTTTGAATTAAACTGAATAAAGATTTAAAAAACAAAGATAACGACAAAGAGTGATTAAGTAGTTATAAATCAATGAATATCCCATTTTTTAACAGTCATTTCATGGAATAAAACAGTCATTTGTTTTAATAACAATGAATATCCTGTTTTTTTTTTCAAAAAACGTAAAGATTTGAATTAAACTGAATAAAGGTTAAAAAAACGATTAGATTACATGATCAACATCAATTATTTAAAAAACAAAGATGACGACAAAGAGTGATTTAGTAGTTATAAATCAATGAATAAGCAATCTTGACCATTGATTTAAAGTAACAAATCCTGTCAATTGAAAATATAATTCTTTTTTGTATTTATTATATTCACCGATTTACCATTAAAGAAAACTTTTTTAAATGTTGTAGTGTGAACACATTGGTGAAATTGAACCATAGTGCGACACATCAGCAAGGTTTCCACATAATGGAATTCCTTTATAATATAAGATTTTCGGCAAAAAAAATTAAAATATTGAATTTTTAATAAATAATTACGAATAAATTGCTATTTCGAACTTATTTAAAGATCTATTACACTCATCCACGTCCAAATTAGGCGTGACTATTTACGCCTAAATTAGAGATGAATTGTTTGGTGTTGACACGTGGTACAAAAAGTTAATAGTTTAATCGTAAAACTTCATAAGGCCATAACTTTTGACTCGGGTATCCAAATCAGGTAATTCTTTTTTTGATTCCACATAACTTTTCGAGATCTACGCAATGACATCCCATTTGATATATTTTATCTCTCACAAACAAAGTTCAAATTTACAATAATAGTAGTATAAAGATAGCACCAAAGTAGATTAGTCCATCTAAAGTTTGAAAAAGTCTATGATACAAAACAAAGACTGAGTCTTTATGGCTGGATTCGTTAGAAGCTTATGAATGATTTTCAAAAATAAAATTTTTCTTCCTTAAAGATTTATAATATTTATTTAATTATTTCCTTTATTAATACAGATCTTTCAAATTGGTTTTTGAATTATAATCACAAATCAAATCTTTATTTTTTTCGTTATTAATAATAATTTTTATTTTTATTTTAATTTAAATCACAAACCAAATCTTTATTTATTTTTATATTAAAAATTAAAAGATTTGATTTATGATTTAATTTTTTTTAATTTAAATCATAAATCAAATCTTTATTTTTTTTATATAAAATCACAAACGCAGAACTCAGAAGCTTATGGTTTAAACGCTCTTATAATATCATTATTGCGAATTTGAATTATTTTTGTGAGATAAAATATGTCAAATGAAGTGTCATTGCGTAGATCTCGAAAAGTTTTGTGAAATCAAATTTTTTTTACCTGAATCAAAAGTTGTGACTTTCCAAAGTTTTACGGTTCGTAAGTTGACTTTTTTGTGCCACGTGTCAACACCAGACGAGTCACGCCCAAATTAGGCATGAATGCTTTGGGAGTCATGCCTGATTTAAGCGTGAATAAGTGCAATAGATTTGTAAATTGTTTCAAAACAGCTATGTATTCATAATTATTTATTAAAAATAATAATATTTTAATTATTTTGCCATTAATTTTCTTCCCACGCTAGTGACGTGGTGATGACACCATTAGCACTAGCAGTTGGAGCAATTCACTTTCCTATAATAATATTTTGGTATACCAAATAGTTTTTTTTGCTCACATTCAAAGGAAATTCACTTTCTCAGTATATTTTTAGTAACCAAGATTCTTAAAAATAATCGTACGTCCCCTTAAGGATTTTATTTATAATTATAATAATTTTGATTTTTTATTTATAATTTAATATTTTTTTTATATTTTATATGATAAATAACTTTTTAACCTTCAAAAGATTAAGTAACACACGTTATAACTACAATGTATTTAAGTAATAGACTTAAAACTATATGAATTTGGTAATTTAACTTTATAATCACAAAAGTGAAGTTATCCTAAATAATTGCATATGAACAAAAACATCTTTTCTTGTCTGAATTGTTATCGTCGCATAGTTAACGTGCCACCATTACGACATTCCCTCCAAGCACTACAGGCATCGTCAATTCCAATATTTACTATCACACTTTGTCTCTTCCTTTATCACAATTATGAATTACAAAGAGAATTAAGAAAATAAGAGAATAATTATTTCACACTAATTTCAGATTCGTTGTTTTTATTTATTTTTAAGAAAAGAGTATGTTTAATTAAAAACATTTTATAGAGATTTTGACAGAAAAATATAAAGATTTAAGGTTAAGAGTAAATATCCTTTTTAGTTCCTGACAATATCCACGAAGCCCTTTTCAGTCCATAGCAATAAAAAAAGGGACAAATTGGTCCCTGAAATAACAAAAAAGATGCCACGTTCATCCTTCCGTTAACTCTCACTAACGGCCCAACTAACGGTGCACAGTTGGCACGTTAGTTTGCTGACGCGGCTTGGATGTGGGACATCGTGGAAGACGAGACGACGACGTTTTGGTCCCTGTCAAAACCACGAGGGCCATTTTGGTCCCTGTCAAAATGCACGAGGATGTTTTTAGTCCCTAACAAAAAGCACGGGGCCCTTATTGGTCCCTAACCAGATAAAAATAGACACATGACTTCATTGCTTTTCTATGCAGTCCAATTTTGCAAAACAGAAGTGCAATCCAGTTTTGCAAAACAGGAACATGACATTAGATTGGATTTGTATGCAATCCAATTTGTTAAACCAGAAGACATGGATGTACAAGAACTACAACTACGTATATTAGTTAAAAAACATAAAAAATGGTAAACTTAAACATTCATCAACCCTGTGAAACATAATAGCTGGAACATGATTTGAGTATCATTATATTTGAAGACATGGATGTACAGTAGTGCATTACAAAATAAAGTCAAGTGCCAGGAATTAAAAGAAAGGTCTCTAATACAATATGGCCAGAATTTATAAAGAAAACATTGACATACTAAGGCCTCCAAATACATAATGGCCAGAATTTTAAAAAAAAATCAGTCACATAATAATAAACCCTTCTCAGTTGGCTCATGCACTACTCCCAGGCCATATACAGCAGTAGATCATTTTCTTGAGGCAGGCCTTGTTGGCCTAAAACCAAGTGTGCTCATGAAGGCCAATAATCTGCTTCGTGTGCCACTGGTTGCTGCATTCATTGTTTCATTACTCAATAGCTCATTTGCCTGTTGTGGATTTGATGGAGGTGGGCTGCTTCCTCTCAAGTTGCCTTCCTGTGGCTGAGAACTACCAACTATTGCAGTCCAGTCAACTGCCATGCATTGCAATTATCAACAATCATTTACCTGGCTTCTTCTCTGATTTTTCTCTGTATTTAAATACCAACAATCATGCAATTATCTTTTATAGAAAAATAAATAGTATAATTGTAATGCTACACTAATGAAGATATTGTTTGTAAATCGCATAACGCTATGTCTTATATAGACTAAGATAATTAAAGCAGTTCATAGTATTCTAAGGATCGTAAAAGCTGTTTGCAAGAGCCAAGAATCCCTTTTAACAAAGTGGGAAGCTTAATTAGCATTGAAAAAGAAATGAATAATCGTTAATAAGGTCGAAACTTCAGTTAGAAACACAAACTTTATTGAAATAAAATGCCAAGAAGAAGTATTTTACTTTGTGATGAAATTTAGTTTAATTACTTTGTGATGAACAAATAGATTGCACTCCTGTTTCTGATGTAATGCACTTCTGTTTTGCAAAATTGGACTGCATAGAAAAGCATTGAAGTCATGTGCCTATTTTTCTCTGGTTAGGGACCAATAAGGGCCCCGTGCTTTTTGTCAGGGACTAAAAACGTCCTAGTGCATTTTGACAGGGACCAAAATGGCCCTCGTGGTTTTGACAGGGATCAAAACGTCATCGTCTCGTCTTCCACGGTGTCCCACATCCAAGCCGCGTTAGCAAACTAACGTGCCAACTGTGCACCGTTAGTTGGGAATTAACGGAAAGATGAACGTGACCTCTTTTTTTGTTAGGGAACCAATTTATTCTTTTTTTATTGCTAGGGACTGAAAAGGGCTTCGTGGATATTGTCAGGGACTAAAAAAGATATTTACTCTAAGATTAATCTTTTTTCAGGAATAAAAAACAAATTTTAAAAACAAATTTATATCATAAAAATTCCTTTTTCAAAGTTTAAATAATTTCACTTTAATAATAATGCATTCAATTAAATCAAGCGTATTAACAGGCTAAGTGTAAATGATATGTTTGGAATGAGATTCGAAACTTGTAACGTGTAAACCTCACGCATGTTTGGAATGAGATTCGAATTAACGTGTAAACCTCACGCTAAGCCAACTTCGTACTAGTCCTCGTTAAACGAAGAACAGCACACTCAACTCTGAACTGAGATTAAAAAAAAAAGAAGAAAAAAAGAGAGTGAAGGTGGTGAAGGGCCATGGCCAAGGAAGAAAGCTACGACGTTGTTTCCGATCTCATCGCCTTCCTGAATGCTTCTCCAACTCCTTTCCACGCCGTCGGTAAGAAAAGCCGAAAAAAAAAATAAAAAAATTCTTATAAGATTGCACTGTTTGGATCCATTTTCAATGTTATTGTTTATTTTCTTCACCGTTCAGAGGAGGCAAAGAAGCGGTTGCGAAGTGCGGGGTTTGAGCAACTCAACGAGAGAGAGGCGTGGAATTTGGAAGCCGGCAAAACGTACTTCTTCACTAGGAATCACTCTACCATCGTTGCTTTTGCTATTGGTAAAAGGTAAAGTGACAATTATCAATTTAATATTATATTATTATTTGCCATTTTGAACGTGAATGTGTGCTCACCCAGATACGTTGCTGGGAATGGATTCTACGTAGTTGGTGCTCACACTGATAGTCCTTGTCTGAAACTGAAGCCCGTGAGCAAGGTAAAGTTTTGCATCTATTACTTAATTTAATTCTAGTTGTAAATATGTGATCTTTTTAACATAAAATGAAATGGGTTTATTTTTTATTTTTATTTTTTTTGGGCAGGTGGTTAAAGGTGGATTTTTGGAGGTTGGGGTGCAGACTTATGGTGGTGGCTTGTGGCATACGTGGTTTGATAGGGATTTGACCGTTGCTGGGAGAGTAATGATTCGAGAAGAAAAAGGAGGTTCTGTTTCTTACTTGCATCAACTTGTAAGGATTGAGGAACCAATAATGCGGATCCCAAATTTGGCTATTCACTTAGACAGGTTTTCTTGCTGTTCAGCTGAGAATACATGCATCTTGCCTGTTTGTTCGTTTGTTTGATTGATTATCATCTTCTTTTTTTTGTTGACTATGTTATGTTGCCAACATATGACTTGTTTGGTTAGGAATGTTAATGAAGGATTCAAAGCCAACACTCAAACTCAACTTCTTCCCATCTTAGCAACATCTGTGAAGGTAATACCGGAATTAAACTTAATTTATGCTTTCGGCACTGTTTATTATATACTCATAGTTTTAAAACTTTGTAATTTTGTTATTAAGGTAGTATTCTATAGAAAATAATTATGATTCGGAATTTGAGATTCAGGTTTAATGCATCAAGTCCAAGATAAAATGCTTATTTTTTTTTAATTATATTTTAATACCCGAGTTACTTTTTATTTGATTGCATGTAGTTGGAGTCTTAGATAGTTCAAACTGTAATTATTGATTAAAGATGCATCATATCTAACATTAAATGTTTATTTTCTTTTAAAATATTACTTTACCTGAAGTACAATTTATTTGATTGCATCTAGTTAGAGTCTTAGAGAGTTCAAACTGTTCAATTATTGGTTAAAGATGCATCAAGTCCAAGATTAAAAGGTTGCTTTTATTTTCTTTAATTATATTTTACTTTACCCGAGTTACGATCTAATTGATTGCATGTGGTTTGAGAGTTCATTTATTTGTTAACGATGCATTTTTTTGTTAGATAGGATTCGTTCTTCCCTAGTCGCAACAATGGGTTTTTGTACTTGTATTAGCATGTAATGGTTACAGGTTAATTAATGATTTAATGTCATGTTTGTGTTTTGGTGAAATAGTTTTTTGCAGGTGTGCATTGGGACTTTTTAACTCAAAGATTTAAGCTTCCATAGATATTGCTTATTCAGATTCAAGGTGTTTGTTTCTAATTATTGGATTTAGATTTTATACATTCAATGAGCTTGAGCTTTATCTTGCAGGCAGAGCTCAATAAAGAGGTCTCTGAAAATGGTTCAGTTGAAAGTGGAAAGCAGAGTGGTGGAAAGAAAGCAAATGATAAAACAGACACTAGAAATACGAAGCACCACTCTCTTCTACTTCAGGTTAACAGGCTTTGAAATTGACAGCGCCTTTTTGATATTTTTATTTCAGTTACCTTTTCTTTTGATTATCACATGTAGTTACAACGCCTTGACTGGATAATGGCCTGTAAAAATGATGATTATGGGTTTAATTGCTGGTAACTTTCTTCTTTTCTCTTTTCCCCAGTTGCTGGCAAGCAATCTTGGGTGTGAACCAGGTGACATTTGTGAGCTTGAATTGCAAGCATGTGATACACAACCAAGTATAGTTGCTGGAGCTGCCAAGGAATTCATATTTTCAGGACGGCTTGATAACCTCTGCATGTCATTTTGCTCGTTGAAGGTCTGTGTTTTATAGAGACTGTTTTCTCTTGTCAAGTTTCAAAAGATGAACTTTGAATTATAATCTTGATTTTGAAGTGCGCCATTGTGAATGATACTTATTACCTCGAATTGGGGAATTTTGGACTTGAGTCCCTTTATAATGTACAAAGCTCCAAAATATCACTTCCCCATCAGTTTACAACATCATTATAAATTGTGCTCTAATGGAATGGATACAGCGAATGAACTCTTGGTCTACTTGCATCTTCTGCCCTCTATGAACAAGTGTGAACTAAGAGATTACTAGTTCAAATCCAGTTGCTTATGTCTGACTGACAAAATGATATTTTTGAAAGTAGAAAAAGTTGACTTTAGCATTTTGGGACTTAATCTAAGATTATGTCACTGTCTACTTGGAAATTAGAATGTTGATTATGCATGGTGTGTGAAAGTGTTTTTTTCTTTAAAAAAATATTGTAGTAGTTTATTATATCCTATGTAAACTGACGGACTATATTTCAGGCACTGATAGACGCTACATCCTCTGACAGCAGTCTTAAGGAAGAGACAGGTGTTAGAATGGTGGCTTTGTTTGACCATGAGGAATGTGGATCTAATTCTGCACAAGGAGCTGGCTCTAATGTCATGCTAAATGCTTTATCTAGGGTTACAAATTCCTTTAGCTCAGACTCCAAGGTAAAATTCTTCTATCTTCTGTTTCCATTTTCATACTTCTTGTTTGTTGTGAATGAACTGCTGAATTGTTGTCAACTGTCTGTTGAGGATTCACGAGCAGTACACGCGGTATTCTAGATGTTAAATAGGAGCTGTTTAATAATGATTGGGGCTCTGTGAGTGTTTCAGCCTTCCTAATTCATTACTGCACCAGTCCACAAGTTTGTGGGCTGTGGCATGTACAATAGGAGCATTAACGATATTTAGATATGGAATAACCACACTTGATTATGCTTTCAATAATCAGTTTTCTTTATGCTGATTTTGTTTTAGATGCTTGAGAAAGCAATACAGAGAAGCTTCCTTGTTTCTGCTGATATGGCGCATGCACTACACCCCAATTACATGGTATGTCTTTTCATTTGCTTTATGATTTTTGACAATATAATATAAATTATTGCTTTTTAGTGAGACACAATTTCTCGTTAGGACAAACATGAAGAGAACCATCAGCCTAAACTACATGGAGGACTTGTCATTAAACACAATGCAAACCAACGCTATGCAACCAATGCAGTCACATCCTTCGTATTCAGAGAGATAGCATCAAAACATAACCTTCCCATTCAGGTCAGTTTAGTGGGGGGAAAAAAATCTCCCTCTTTTTTCCCTCCTCTCTCTGATTGGAACAGATTGCTGATGTAGATAGGAGTTGTCTGAAGAATAAATTATAATGAGATATGTTGATGTAGGACTTTGTGGTGCGCAATGATATGCCTTGTGGTTCAACCATTGGTCCCATCCTTGCAAGTAGCGTGGGTATTCGCACAGTTGATGTAGGTGCACCGCAGTTGTCAATGCATAGCATACGAGAAATGTGTGCTGTTGATGATGTAAAGCATTCATATGAGCATTTCAAGGCCTTTTTCCTAGAATTCTCTCATTTGGATGCAAAAATTGCCGTGGACATATAGGTTATCTCTACTGAGGAATTGCTCATCGATCGTTTGCTTTGGATGCTGTTGCTGAAGCGTTTGATGATGTACAATATAATAAAATATTAATATAAGGCTGATATTGTTTATAGATGACAAAGTAAGATTTTCGTTAATATCAGATTCGATGAATGCAATGTAAGAAGTTATATCATGTATGCGTGCTTGCTGTACTTTACATGAATAGCCCCATTCATTCTTCTAATGGGGTCCAATTCAGATGAGAAATGGACCCACTTTCTATTTTTATTTTCGAGCCATGAATAACATCATCTATCACTTTCAAGAGTTATTCCAAGGACTATATAACATACAGTTATTTGGAGTAGTCGACCATCAATGAACCAGGAATGAGCATGCAATTCGGGTACATGCACAATCTTGGTCACGATCGTTCGCAGTTGTGCTTTAAAGTTTGCCCAAATTACAACAGAAAAGTTAAATTCCAAGTGGAATGTACTGCATTTGCTGCCTTTTTCTTTTGGCAAGCTAGGTCCATACATTTGCATATCAGGTTATGAGCACCTAAACCCCTATTCCCTATGGTGGGAAATCACGTCCCACTGAAGCATCTGCTCAATCTTTTTTCCCCTTCTCAATAAAATTTTTTCACTGTACATTGCAGAGAGTGGAACCGTGTTCTATACTAAAGGACTTCGGATGTATTGCAGTACATGAAGAGAAAATATCATTGTTCAAGACCCTCAACGCAGCTATATGTAACTGAAGATCATAAATTAGTTTATGAACATTAATGATATAATTTGATTTATTATTGAGAAAACCATAAACTTTAAATTACTCGTATACTTTTGTTTTCATTGCTAGTAAACATAAACCATATGTTGTATATATCATTCAAACAAGCTACAATCACGAACTTTATTCTTTACTTTTATGCATAATTATGAAACTAGGCCCTTCCATGAACTACGAAGTGATGAAAAGATAAGGGGCGACATAGGTTACACAAGACAGAATCCAAATCAACGAACTACTAGTTATACTTAATGAACCAATTCAAAGTTCAAAGTCTTGATGATCCCCTTGGATGATGTATGACTATATGATTATAGGCATCCAGAGTCAGGAAATCATCTAGTGTTGGGGATGTGCATTGGCGGGTGAAGATCTTGCAAGCCTCCTTGTACATTCCCTTCTTGAACTTGTCTTTTCCCACTTCTTTTTCAATCCTAGCCATCTCCTCTTCAACCACTCTACCAAAAAGTTCTTTGTTGACTTTCACTTGAAGCCCATCCCCATTGAGTTCAACTTCATACTTGAGCCACTGCCAGTTCTGCACCCTGCTAATCTCAGCAGTGGCAGCATCTTCCATGAGGTTGTAAAGAGGCACTGAACCAGCTCCAGTGAGCCATGCTGCCACATACTGAATGCCCACCCGTGTATTCAGGCGTAGACCTTCCATGGTTCGGGCTCCTCTAGGTATCTGCAAGAGGTCTTCTTCAGTTAAGTTTGCAGCATCATCACGTTTCATTGTCTTTATCTGATTAGGAGCATTGCCCATGTTGTTGTTAAAAACCTCCCTGCATGCTGGAATTAGACCAGGGTGTGCAGCCCAAGTCCCATCATGCCCTGCCTTCACCTCTCTAAGCTTGTCCTTCTTTACCAGTTCTAATGCTGCCTCACTAGCCACTGGGTCATCTCTTATTGGAATCTGAGCTGCCTGTTGAACAACTTAAATTAACTCTCTGACATTTTCTATAAAAAAACGCTACATGCATCTATGGCTTTTTCCCAATTTAGTTTGACATTTTCTAATAATGTTGTGTTCATATAATTAGCCATTTGCAAATGCAAGGTATCCATCTTAACAAGTATTAATGGGATAATTAATCAAGAGTGATCAATGAGATAAGTAGGAAATTCAAACCAACAGGCTTGTTAGTCCAAATCCTTAAGACAATGAGTTTATGGTTCCTATCACTTATGTGGTCTTAATTTAGTCTATTCCTAATCAATAAAAGGGCATATCCTGGTGCACAAGGCTCTCTGACTTGCAGGGATAGAGGTAAAGGTCAATTGTACTTAATTTTATCTTTGCATGTTTGCAGGAAAACTGCTTCCCAAATTTTAACTCATGACCTTCCGGTCACAAGGAGCAATCTTAACACTGTTCCAAGGCTTGTTCTTGGTCCATTGCTAACTAATATGAGACTTAATTACTCATCACTGTACTTACATTTCTAACATCAACCAACATTTTATATATAGACTATATATACCATTTGCTAAGAAGTTAGAGCGATTCCCAACTTAAAAATAAAAAAGCATGGCTAGCAGTAAACCAAACTATATGTACCATTCCTCCCATAGCATGCACACCGCGCCTATGGCATGTCCTGATGAGAAGATCGGAATAGCTCTTCATGAAGTGTTGAGCCATGCCAACCTGGACCCTGTCTGGTAGCAAGCGTTCTGGGTGAGCCTGGAAGGTCTTAACATAACTGAAAATGTAATCCCACCGTCCACAGTTCAGACCCACAGAGTGGTCCCTGAGCTCATACAGAATTTCATCCATTTGAAACACCGCAGGAAGTGTTTCAATCATAACAGTGGCCCTTATGCTTCCTCTTTCTATGCCTCCCATCTTCTCTGCCATCTCAAACACCTTGTTCCATATCTTGGCTTCTCTGTCAATCACAAGATTCTTGTATTACAATTACATATATAACTCACTGCAACTTATAAGCGTGTGTCCTGTCGGACATACCAACATTTTTTGACATTTTGACATTTCTGACATCTATAATATTTAAAATTTTATTATATATCATGAAAAAATTTATCGATGTTTTATCAAACTGATATAATAAAAAAAAAAAATGGATACCGAATAAATCCAACTGGAATGTATAATAGATTTTCAATTTGAAAATATAATAGTAAATATTTAGATTTTATGTTTTTTTTAAAATTGATGGGTATTATAAATCTAGTTTTATTTTTTTGTTAAATTGTTGAATATTAAATACAATATATACTACATATATTAAAAATATTATTTAATATCAAAACGTGTCTGAATTGTCAAAATCTCCTGTGTTGATATCCGTGCAACATAGACACCAACTAAAAGACCTAAAACATAGTAAACTGTTATTAACCAAGCTGCTAGCTTTGTTCTTTGGCTCTTATGACTAATGCTTACCTTGAATGCTCCATTTTGGGAAGATAGAAGAAAGGGCCAAAACCAGCACCTTGAGTACGACGGAAGGTTGAATGATTGTGGAAGAAGAAGAGGCCAAAATCAACAAGGCAACCGGTTGCAGGTTCACCATCAATCAGAATATGGGCCTCAGGTAGGTGCCAACCTCTTGGTCGAACAAAAAGCTTCGCCGTGTGATCATTGAGCTTGTAAACCCTGTTTCTGCTTCTGTCATGGAAGCTTATGGTACCAGCCACTGCATCCTTCAAGTTCACTTGCCCTCTCATCAGATTCTCCCAGCTAGGTGAGAGTGCATCTTCAAGGTCAGCCTTAGAAAAAAAATATAAAAACAATTTTCAGTGTTTTGGTCCTAGGAATAACCAAATTAAATCCAACCTCCAATGTAAAATAATATAACAAATAAAAGGGCACACCAAATTTTTACACTTAATATTCCATGTTTTATTAGCATGTCCTGTCACATGATTTCTTTATCTTAAATAAAATAGTTAATGTTAAATGAAACATGAAATATCATTCCTCAATTTTTATTTTTTTTAATTTCATGATCTTAATTATTTTGGGGTATTCATTTAGAGAAAAAAGATCCGTTTATAAATTTTTTGTACAAATTATATTAAGTATAACCGGTCATAATTAGTGTAATTTATAAAAATTTATAAATAAAAAATTTGTAAATATAATATTATATTCATTTAGAATAGGTCAAATCAGTATTTCCAAAAAAAAAAAAAAAAAATAGGTCAAATCTTTCGAATATCTCTCCAATCAAGGAGAAAAAAAAGTTATACAAAGTATGAGATTAATCCAAAATCGAATAACATAACAATTATCCCCCTGTAACTCCAAAAATGTTATTTGATAACATGTTATTAGTCCCTTAATTAATATGTATAACTTGTTAAAATAAAATAAATAAATAATATATGTTAATTATTTCTAACCATAAAGACTTCAGCTCCAGAGTTGAGAGCATTGATGATCATCTTTCTCTCCACAGGGCCTGTGATTTCAACTTTCCTTTCAGCAACAGCTTGTGGAACAGGTGCACACACCCACTCTCCTTCTCTTATGTACCTGGTGGCAGGATCAAACCCTGGTAGAGCCCCTTCATTGTACCTCCTCTTTGCTTCTCTTCTGCACTCTAGTGCGTACTTGATATGGTTCTTGAACTCACGTTGTAGGTCAGCAACGAATTTCAAAGCATCTTTTGTGAGAATTTTTGCAAACTCTTTATCGTATCTACCCCGAATTTCCACTCCTTCAGGCACATCATAGCTAGAATCAATCTTTTCCACTGCTGGTGTGGGATAGCCATAGTTTCCAAGGTCCATCACCTTAAATGCAATATAGTAGTATATAGTCTATTACTCAGTATGAAAGTGGAATGTTAATTACTTGAGAGCAAGGGCTACGTAGAATTTATATAGAACGAGTGGGGATACCAACCTTATCCTGAGTTTGGTTTTATTAATAATTATGTTCATGATATCACTTTTTTTTTTTTTAATTTTAATTTTTGCTTTTAAAAATGTATAAAGAATATTGTTAAAATAAAATATTCTTCTAACAAGTGGGATGCGAACGTTACACCGAGTTTATTTTTGTTTTTATTTTAAATTTAATATTTCTTTTAATGATTATAAAAATATCATTTTATATTTACTTTAAGAATTTCTGAAAAATTTTAAACATATGTTTTTTATTATTCTATTAAATTCTTGAAAATAAAAATAAAAATAAAATACTTTTTTATAATTAATAATAAAAAGGAAAACATTTTATCATGTTGCATGATAATTCAATTCTTAAGTTGTGATATTTCGATTTGCGTGCAATTTTTTTTTTAATAAATATGAGATCCACCATTAGTTGAGTCATAATATGAGAATTAAATTCTCGTATAACATGAGAAAATCAAACTCTATAATAAAAACATAAAAACTAAAAACTAGATCAAACACCTCCTTATCTCTTCTTCTCTTCGTATATGTTTTTCCCTGATAACAAAAATGGGAAAATCAAATTTAGATATGGGTCAATTGAAGAGAGTGCATGAGCATGACTTGATGTGCGTAAAGAGGATCAAATCAGACGAGAAAATGACCATAACATGGGAAATGAGGATAAGAGGTAGGCGTTATTGAGTTTTGTGCCCTCATTGGGAGGTGTGGTCAGTCACGATGCTATGGTGGGGGCTACATTTGGCACTACAATACCTTGATCTTTATCTTTTCTAGGTCCTAAAATGCAGCCTAAATTTCAACTGTATCCGGCAGGCACAAATCCAGAGTAGTTGAAGAATTAGAACATTGTGATTTCCTATTAATTACCACCAAAAAGTAAAAATGTGAATTCCTAATAGAAGATCAAGGAACCGAGCCAAAGAAAACAGTAATTTAGAAAAGCTCTTGGCCGATTGTAAATTTGAAATTTAGCAAAAAAAAAAACTGTTTTTCTTGTTTTATTACTTAAGAAGTTAATAATAGCGTGTGAATGTCACTGTCGTTTTATATATCTAATAGATTTCTAGGATATGGCTTCCTAAAATTGGTTTTGCTTTATTGTATCTGGCTTCTTTTAGGTTATCGACACAATGCGATTTCTTAGATGACCTACATAATTGGTGTGGTAACTGCAAAAAAAATCAAAATATTTTATTTTTTAATATAATAATTACGAAAACATTACAATTTGAAATTTATTTACAAATATATAGCAACTAGTTTAATAAAGAGTGAGACTGAATCTGATGCGTTACAGAGATGGGTCGCACCTAAAATGAAACACAAATGGTTCAAAGTCACACCTCATCCCCATTTTGGGCGCGACCCGACCCCGTATATTGTGGCTTAATTTTATTTTATAATTAGACCTGTCAAAATGGGCTATAGCCCATAGGACAGCCCATGCAATCCCATTTTCAGCCCTATGTATTTTTGGCCCTATCAAAGTTGGATTGTTTTTTGCCCTAACTCCACATGGCCCTCTCATCCCTTGGGTTGGATGGGGCCAGCCTGCGGATCAAGCTAAAAATAACAGGAAAAGAAGAAAGTAAGAAATAAATCTAGTTTTCAAAAAAACCGAAAGAAGAAACAAACCACCACCGTCCGATTTGTGACCTATCCAATGAAATAGAGATAAATCCCCAAATTGAAAACGCTCCGAATACGAAGATCCTTCGCTTATTTCATCTCACGCAAAGCCAAAAGGCCGTCTAAACTGAACCCATTACCATTTGCCCTTTTCCTATTGCAAATATTTAATGTTATATATTCATTCAAGATCACACAGCTTTTCAGCTCCATTATCATTTTCCCTTTTCGTATTGCAAATATTTAATGTTATATATATATATATATATATATATATATATATATATATATAGAGGTAGGATCCTTTGACACCTCATCTGAGAGCCGTTAGATAAAAAAAGATCAATGGTGTTACATGCTTACAAATCAGAGCCGTTGATCTTTTTGGATCTAATGGCTCTCAGATGAGGGGTCAAATTTCAATTGACACTGATGTCAAAGTATCCTACCTCATATATATATATATATATATATATATATTATATAACTTATTCATTGAAGTTTGGTAGTAAAATGGGAAACTTATTCATTGAAGCTTGGCAATAAAATGGGTATTTATTTTATAAAGTCATATTTTATTATTATAATCAGAAAAAAATTAATTTTTTGAAAGCTCGCGGGTTAGCCCTGACCCATAGGGCTTTTGGCCCGAGCGGGCCTTTACCATAATGGGCTTTTTGGCCCTGGCACGCACAGGCTAGGGCCTAACGGGCTGGGTTGGCCCGTTTTGACAGCTCTATTTATAATTATCTAGCTAAGTGCCTCAATGGTTACTGCCTTGATTAAACTTCTTGGTGTTCTTGCGTTTGTTATTGTGGCTACTCGAAAGAACAAGGGTTACTAGTTTAATGCAATGATGAATCGTGATTCAAGGATGAAAGCTATGAATGAGATGCTTAATTACATGTGTGTTATCAAGTTCTAGGCTTGGGGGAGCATTTCAAAGAGAGGATTTTGGGTTTCCATAAGTCAGAGTTTGAGTGGCTATCCAAGTTTATGTACTCAATTTTGTGGCAATATTATTGTGTTGTGGAGCACGACGTTATTGATATCAACAAGGCACTTGGTCGAGATTGATCCAATCACGAAGTTTGAGTTGTTTGCTTTTGGGCATGATTAGTCCCACCTCATTTTGGGCGCGACTAATTGTTACAAATTCATAAATAGATTTTAAATTGCAACAATTTTGTAATTATTTATTAAAAATCAACATTTTAATTTTTTTTATGTGCTAATTGCTTGCCAACAAGAAATGAAAGTACAAAAAATATTTAAAAATTATAGTTTAAATAATAAATTACATATTAATTTTTTTTTAAATATTTTATGCAACTAATGCATTCAGTTGCGCTCAAATTCATACACAACTAGTTACACATCAATTTGGGCATAACTGTCACGTGGCAAATTCTAATGAGTTGCATCCAAATTGATACGTAATTAATTGCGCATCAATTTGAGTGAAACTCATCAAAGCTTGTCATATTGTGCTAAGGGTTGTTGTATGTATAATGTAAGGGGTCCCTTAGTGTCACGTGGCATTGCGCATCATTTTGGATGTAATTCATCCGAGCTTGCCATATGGTAGTTGCGCTCAATCTGGATGCAATTGGTTACATTAGTTCCGTAAAATATTGGAAAATGATATCAATTTTATAATTTATTATTTAAATTGTAACTTTTAAATTTTTTGGCCAATAAAACTAATGAGAACTGTCACTCTCAAAATGTTCCAAGACACATCGATCCGAATCATCTATTTAATGCCTAGTGCCCATATGATCATATTTTAATATTCTTTATCTCAATATCTGTAGATGCAGTGGCGGACGCAGAAATTTTAATAAAAGGGGGCAAAAATAAAAAATACTATATCATAAATAAAAGTACTTGTAATACAATATAGACCTAATATACAAAAAATTGAAAGAAATCTATTACAGAAATTAATATCACTTCACTTGACTCCTGCTCTACGTGTTTTCATATTGTTAAACTCATCTATATTTGAATTCGTGCTAAAATTCAAAACAATTCCTTTTTCAATGTATGTAATCAAAGAATCATCAAGAAATTGGTCTTCCATTCTATTTTGAAGTCTGGTCTTGATTATCTTTATAGTTGAGAAAGTCTTTCAGTAGTTGCTGTAGAAACTGGAAGAGTGAGTACAAGTCTAATCACTCTATCAATAAGAGGGTAAATGATAGACTTTCCAGTTCTTACTAGCCCTTGACATAATTTAGATGTAGTTGATAAATTAATCAAATATAGAAGTTTAGGAATGTCAAGCTCAAAATGTTGTAACTCCATCTTTAAATGCAATTTTTCATGTTCTGTGAAATCTCTAGAATAAAATTTATCAACAAGTTTGCAAATATCATCACTATTAAATGACTTGTACCTATTTCTTAGATCTAAAGCCATCTCAAAGTAAGTAATTCAACAACATTATCATTGAACCTGCTATTTAATTCTTGCAATTGATAATCAATTGTGGCACAAAAGATATTTACCCTGTAAAATTTCTCAGTAGAAAAATTACCTTGTTCATTTTGAGCACGACCTCTCCTTCTAATATATTTTGCACTAATATTTGGAATGTGATTGTCATGTTTTCTGCAAAATTCTTGAACATGAACCAAGAAAGCATCCCAACCCGACTCTCTTACTTTCTAAAGTAACTCTTTTGTAGTTGAAACCAGATGTAAAATATTTGAAATATCTTGAGACTATAGTTGCAAAGCTTGACAAAAGACTTTAGTAATACCCATAATTTCCTTCATAAGGTGCAATATGATGACAAAATCAAAAGATGTCAATGATGAGCATGCGTTATCTGCATCTCCATAATGTGATGTCATTTCTTCATTAGAAATATTGTCAAGAGCTTCACATATGGCTGTAAACATTTGAAACAAACTGCATATCAAATTCTAATGAGAACTCCAACGAGTAGCTCCAGCTCGATGCAAAGTACCAATCTGATTAAGACCTTCATCAATAGCAATCATTCTTGCAATTTCCTTTGTTTGGGCAACCCTTGACTCATCATTATGCTTACAAGAAGAAGCAACAATATTAACTCATCATGAGATGCAGCAACCAAGGCAAGTTGAAAACGATGAGCTAAGCAATGGACATAATATGCATATGGACACTCAGCGCAAATTAAAGCCTGCAGTCCATTCCATTCACCTCGCATATTGCTAGCTCCATCATAGCCTTGTCTGCGAATATTT